TCACCTGGGGAAAATGCTTATTTAAATCCTTGTTTACAACTGCTCTTGTCAAGGGCACCATAAAACTCCATGTTCAGAATCTGGGACATGATGGCTTCCCATGGCCTAAGTGGGTGCTGGTGACATCCCCGCATGCAGCCGGTGGATGGAGCCCCTGAACCCTGGCTGGGGCCACATCCTCCCGTCACTTTGGGCTCCTCTGGCTAAAGAGGAGCCCTGCCTCTCCTCTCCCGGGCTCCTCTCTCCCCACCTCCCCAGCTTGCAGTGTCAACACCACGAACCCAGGTGAGCTCCACCCTGGTTTCCTTCCTGCCCTCCCCCATCTCCCACGTGGCCCGGGGCTCTTCCCATCCCTCCTGACCTCTCCCTCCAGGTTACTTCCTAGGAAGCAGCTCCAGGGCCTCGGAGGGGCGGCTGGAGGCGGAGGGCGCGTGGGGGGCCCGCAGGGTGCAGGGGACGCTGAGGGCGTGGGGCCCAACCTCCCGCCAGCCGCCTGGACTCTGGTCTCTGCTCTGAACGAGGTGCGCGGGTGCCTCCCTAAAAGGACCCCCGGGGCTGCTGCGTGGAGAAAGGTGGACAGGGATCCAGGGCGCAAGCAGCAGCGGGAGAGGCCGGCACAGACGCGTCAGGTGCACGTGGTGAGGCCACCCCAGGCAGGGAGGGGAGGAGCGCGCAAGCCGGGAGGACTTCCACGGAGCTGCTTCTGGCACCTGTCCACAGCGTCTGGACACCGGGCTAGGAATGGACCCAGGAGCGTCCCTGCGCAGGGGGTGCTGCAGGTACCCAGGGGAAGGGCATTCGCGGCTGCCAGGCCCACGGAGCTCACGCCGGAAGCAGACCAATTAGACGACTACAAACGGTGCTCAGTGCTGCAGAAGCAGCCAGGGACGGAGGAAGGTGACAGGCGGCTGTCTGAGAGGGCGCCAGGCATCCCTGGGAAGGGAGAAATATTCTGCGAAAAGTGGGAGAAATTCCACGGGAAGGGGCCAGCAGGTCCCAGGCAGTGTGGGCGGAGAGTGTGGGGTCAGAGATGAAGCTGCAGGTGGGTTAGGGAGTGACTTGCAGGTGCGCATCTAAACCTTATTCCTTCCTGCAGGAAACCATTGGAGGTTTAAAGCAAGGGAACAGGGCGCGGTCACTACCACAAAGGAACCCTCGGGCTGAGTGGAGAACAGGGACGAGATGGCTGGGCTGGACAAGGCGGAGGCAAGAGTGGGCAGGACTCTCGGAGGGACCTGGGGAAGAACAAAGGCTGGCCCAGGATTTGGGCTTGCCTGTCTGTGTGGGGGCTGCCTGTGGAGATAGGGTTCCTGTGAGGAGCAGGATCCAGGCCAGAGGGTGGGTGGTCCCATCTGAGATATGGACTGACCGCAGGTGGCCACGCCAAGGACACAGTGAGACATGGGCTGGAGGCTGAGCAGGCTGGGGCTGAGGAGCTCGAATGTACTGAGTGGATGTATTACCCCTTCTTTCTTAATGGCCCCCATTTTTTTCAGGGACCCACCTCTCCTGTCACCATGCACCTTGGGGGAGCTGACCCCACCCCCGAGCCCAGGATGGACCTCACTAGCCTGAAAGCCCCTTCCCCGTGATGGTGTTTGGGTGCTAAATCTGGCCAATAAGATGTGAAATTTACTGGCAAATTTTTTATTCCCAAAGCTACACAAAAAGAAACCCTTGTCTCCCCACCCCCACCCCGAGGTGAAGATGTCTGGCTGCAATACCCCGGCTGCCACGCACTCCTGCTGCCTGCCAAGGACGCTGCCACCATGGTGGCATGGCCCGGCCCGACAGCAGCATGGAGCTCTGCCTTCCTCTGCAGGTGACAGCACATCGCACCTGCCGCCAGGCCCAGACTGGGGCCTCTGTGCTTCCAGGCTGATGCATTTCAGCTGGTATGGAAGGTGCGGGCCTGGAAGAAACTACCCGGTAGCAAAGTGCAGACACTGAAGAGGGCACTGCCCCCGCTGGCCTCAGGAAAGGGGAGACGCAGCAGCAGGGGAAGGTCAGCTGGGAGCTGAGAGCACCAGAGGACTGAGAACTGGCAAATTACAATCCCCAGGAAGGCAAAGGGAAAAAAGAAACAGAGCAGCAGGAAACAGCAAAAGGGCAGATGTAATTGGTCCATACGCAACAGTTAGAAGACGGAGGCTGGCAGAGCGGATTACAAACACCCACCACTCCGTGCTGTCCACAAGCAGCTCCCTTCAGATAGGGTACAGGCGGGCTGAAAAGTCAAAGGATGAAAAACGGCACATCACACCGACAGGAGTGAAAAGGAAAGAGCTGGAATGGCTTTGTTACTATCAAAGTAAAACTTCAAAGACAATCACTACGGTCCAGGGTCCTAATGACAGATCAGTCCAACAGGAAGACATGGTGACCCTAAACGTGCACGCGCAGAGTACGTCCTGTCAGGACGGGGGTGAGGAACAGACTGCGGCCGCCCACACTTGTAAGCTCCCCACATTTCTGCACGAGTAGCTAACGTTAGAGGCAGCCTTTCTGTACACTCACATTCTATGCAGTATACACACAGTGAGCTTCAGCTGGGAAAAGCGGCTGCTCCAGCTGAGGAAATCCTGGTCATGGATGAAACTGCATCTCTGTAGGCCCTCCCAGGCCCACGCAGAGGTGAATGAATTTGGCTCTCTTCAGCATCTCCATCTCGCGGACGCTCACTGATCCGCCCCCGGGCCTGGTGGTTGCTGTCCCAGCTTGGTCCTGCAAGCCCCTCTGGGTGGAGCTGCTCAGCCTGTGCTCCCAGGCTCATGCCTGCAGGGTGACCCTGACTGCATCAGGATCCTCTTCATAACCTCCTGCCCTCCAGCTCCACTAGGGCAGGGCTTAGCCTCTCTGGCTGGCCTGGCATAGATGCTCCAAGACATCACACACTTGGCTATGGCCTGGGCTGACACAAGTTCCGTAAGCACCTGAAGGCTGGCGCACTAGGGTCTCTGGCTAAGCCACCGCACGCTTAGGCTGTGCCCTTCCTTCCTGGCCTACGGCATCACCTGCTGTCCCTCCTCTACATGGTGGAGACACCCACACACCTTTGTCTAAGCAGACCAGCAGCTGACTTGGATTGGAAACGGCTTGTGCCCCAGCAGGCCCAGCAACACACAAGCGACACACGAGCAACACAAATGAGCGACACACGAGCCACACACAAGCAACACGAGCAACGAGCGACACACAAGCAACGAGCAACACACGAACGAGCGACACACAAGCAACGAGCCACACACGAGCAACATGAGCAACGAGCGACACACGAGCAACGAGCAACACACAAGCAACACACAAGCGACACGAGCAACGAGCAACACACAAGCAACACACAAGCGACACGAGCAACGAGCGACACACGAGCAACATGAGCAACGAGCGACACACGAGCAACGAGCAACACACCTGCAACAACCAGCGACAACGCACTCCTTCCGTTGGTTCAATCCAATGCTTTAGAGAAATATGGGATTTCTGCATTATCAAAATATGTAGATATAGCAAAGAATGGAATACAACAATTTCAAAGTGTCGGGGGTGGGGGCGGAATACATAAACCTTTGGGGTTGGGGTCTTGCACATCTCTAACAGCCATGAGGAGACCGAGCCCTGGCTCTCTTGTGGGACCTGCTGACCCCAGCAGAGCCCTGCAGACAATCCACAGACACACGGTGTCACTTCCATCCAGGGAGTTCTGGCAGAATTTGTTAGGTGGCAACAGCAAATCAATACCTCATCCTAGTTCTTCCCAGGGCAGGGCTGTGCACAGAGAAGGCACAAAATACACTTGGAGTTAATACACATTTACCGAGTATCTGCTAATTTGCAGATGGTGTGCTGAGGACAAGGGAGAAGCTGGTGATTCAGATGGCATAATTCCTGCCCTCAGGGAGCACAGTTGATCACACTGCAATGAGTTCTATGAAGGAAATTCGCAGCAACACAGGATGCCAGGTGAGTTAAACGCTATGGTGTTAGGACAGAAAGGGAAATAGGCAGTGTAGAATAGAGACCCGAGAGACCCCAGGTGGAGACCCCATGAACACGTGTGAAGTCTGCAAGTAACAGAAGCAGCACTGCAGACCAGTGGAGAGACAGTGAACTCACTGGTGATACTGGAAAAAGACACTTTCCACACGGCATAAAGTAAAATTGGGTTCCTGCCTAAGCACACACACCACACACACATGATTAGGCCCAGCTGGATTAAAGGCACACACACACACACTATTAACTTTATGACTCTGGAGTAGGGAAAAAACCTTCTTAAGTCCAAGACACGCAAACAACAAAGGAGAAGATTGATAAATTTTACTACATAATAATTAAACACTGTAAAAGATACTATTCTAAATAATGTTAAGAGTTAAGACAACTGGTAGACGGAAAGAAAATATTTGTAACATATACAACAAAGGCTTAATAGCCTGAACAGATCAAGAATATCAATTCCATCAGAAAAAGAGAGTAAAAATGGGAAGACAACATGAAAAGGCAATGCACAAAGGAGGAAGGCACCAACATCTGAATCAGTCCCCCATCCACTCGGTGCCTGACACAGGAGGGGCCCTGCCTCCCGCCAGCCTCTTCCTAGTGCAGACATCACTGCTGCCTCAGGCTGAGTCAATCCATCACCATGAGGACTCAGCGTCAGCTCCAAACGGCTTTATGGACACAGCTTTGGAGAGAGTGCCATTTTAACAAAATCAAAGTCCTGATACAGGAACATCTATTTTTGCGGTAAATCTTGGCAGTCATGGTAACGACCCTCTCCCCATGAGCACTTGGTGTTAATGCTCACTTTGAACCCCTAAAACACAAAGGGTGAGCCCCGTGTGCTGCAGCCAGCCCCCATGTGGGTGAGAAGCCTTTAGGATCCAATGAGGCCCGTGTTTCTTTCTCATACACACTTATGGGAACAGACAAAAAACTATGTTTAGAAAAGATGCATTCTTGAAGAAATTTTAATTTAAAAAAAATCAAAAGAAAAATTGAACAGTGCCTAAATCTTTATTTTCATAACCTACATTTTTTTTTTTCAAATTAGACAGTTTTACACTGAATGACACCAAAGGAAACTTAAATTACCAATAGTTTACATGTAAGCTTGATTCCAGTCTTAATGAAAAGAAGCAGAACAAAAACGAAACCCTCAAGGAGCGTTCCACGCGGCCCCCACACTGTGAACTGCCGGCAGCCAGTGCCCTCGCCTCGATTGTCTGCAGCCCGGTAGTGGGCCGCGAGGCACGCAAGTCACAACTACAGCTCGCCAGCGGGGCACGCAGACAGGCATGCACCACCACTACCCGTCGCCCGGATACACTGAACTGGTCGTTAAGCCTGAACTGCAGAGATCCTAATACAGCAACGCAGGACGTTTACTGCCACCCGCCAGTGACAGCCGGTGATGTGATGACAGGAGGGCCTGGGTGGAAATGTCAAGACACTCACTCTCAGAGAACGACGACTCCACTTGAAATTCATGTCTGGTGAAACGGGGCCAGGTTTTTATTCTTCTATTTCAAAATGATAAGCATCATCACACGATTTTACAAGTTAAAATGCCATTTGTCGCTGCTGCATCTCTGATTCTATAACCTGAGATACTGCTGGGGGTAAAGGAAGGTGTTAACTTAAAAAAAAAGCATGAAAGCCACTCTCATCGCTGTATGTGACACAGCCCAGTCGGCGTGGACCACCACAGCTTCCCATTATGGTAACTCTCATTTTCTTCTGAGTGGACACTTTCAAAATAGTATCAGGGGTTTCTGGACATTATATAGCTATCTGTGTTTCACCTTTGTTTAATTAAAAAGGATGCTATAAAAATCGCATCCGAGCAAGGTTTCTGCTCTTGATGCAAAAGACTGCTGCTGGCTAGGCAGTAACTACAGTGTATTGACCGGATGGCAGCAGAGCCCTCCAGTGGCGACTGGCTACCGCACGCGCTGCCCTCTTCACGCAGCTGTTGAGCTCACACTTCAGCCGACAAACAAAGTGAAGGACTAAGCTGGCTCGAACCACACACACACACTGCGCTGCAATGCTCACACCTTGGGGGAAAGGACTTCTCATTATTAAAAACCAAGGACTCACTGGCGGAGGAGCAGGCCTTGTGATTTGGGAATGGCTGATGGCGCCCCTGGTCCTTCTGTAGCGAAGATGCACCTCGTAGGCCAGGCCTTGGGGCTGCCTCCCAGCTTTCAGAATATTGAGAGTTTGGGTTTCAGAGATCAATTATTTCTGATTTTTTTTTTCTTTTTTTTTGGTCAGTGAACTGACAACTACAAAAAAATAAATCCCCATGTTTCTTTAAAATGCATTTGAAAAACACTAGCCCTGTGGCTGTTTCTCTGTATTTGCATAATAGCAACTGCTTTAAAGGAAATGGTCAAAAATGCCAGGCCATGTTTTCCTCTGGCATGCTTAGCTGCAAGTGATTTTAATTAGATTACTTTTCACCTCCACTTATGATCCTGCCAGTTTTTGCTCTCTACATACTTTAAAACTCTTTCACGTTAGATATGATTAGTATGCATTTACATACATTTTAAAAGAGTATGAAAACATCTGGAGGCTTTTAATAAGACTTTCCAATTCCCTTTTGCAGCAAAGAGGCAGAATCAGTTCAACACACCGATGTAAGAGAAAAAAGAAAATCTCAACAAATCAAAATAATATTCAAACCACAACATTTAGTTTATCTACATCCAGCTCAACAGCAACATTTATAATATATCAATAATTTGTATCAGAATTTTCTCTGTAGGTACCTTTTTCATATGTTCTGATTATTTACAACTGTACAAGCGAAGCACACTCCCGAGTGCACGTATTTAATACAGTATTGACTATTTGCATTTACAGGATTTCCCAACATTCTGAAAAAAGATCAACTGTTGAAGATCTTTAAGGTCTATTACAAAAACTACCGCTAGCTCTTGTACTACACTATGCTTACTCAGTAAAACCAGCGACAGGAGATCCACACAGTAACTGAGTAACTCTGACCCACTCACGCCAACCCAGGGCCGGGCTCCATGGACTCTAAGCTGTCTTATACAAAAGTTAAGGCAAAGTCATTTTCAAGTTTAAATAAAATTCAAGTCTTTAAATATTGGATGGAAATAATTTTTTCTTAAAAAAAACCCTCAGTCTTGTTAAATAACATTTTGTGGAATAAAGTGTATGGTTACATTTAGCAGGAAATATTCTTATTTTAATGTTTGCTGCTTAGAATACTTAAAGAAAAATTTGAGGCATTTTAAAACAAAATAATTTATATTTAACTTTATTATAAACTTGCTAACTTTAGTGCATCCTTGTTCTTCAGAAGTGCAGCACTTCTGGAAGTGAATCAATGAGGCCCTCGTCTTGGAGGTAAAAGAGCAGGAACTTTATCCTCCACCAGCCAAAGAGGGGGAAAAACCACAAACACCATTCTCTCACGATTACGTAACTCTTAAATCCATGTGCTGATGCAGAGGTACGGGAAGATGTCCACACGGAGCTGAAGATGTGGACTCTCTCCAACCAGAGTGCTGGGGAACACGGACAGAAATGTGCACAGAGCAGGGCTGGGGCCGTCAGCTCACAGGGGTCAAAACAACGTCATGGTACAACTTCTGGTAACATGTCAGTGGGCAACCAAGTGTATGTTTTCATTTAGGTTCTATTCACAATGTGCTTTGAATTTATATTACATAATAGCCACTTGAAACTGGAGTGAGAAGCTGGTTACTTGCTTGCAGTGCATCAGAACCAAGGTTTCAGGTCTCTCTGGGGTGGCCCCTGCAGGTTCACTCTGCCCAGGAGATCAAAAAGGACGCGCTCTCTACATTCTTAAATGCCAGAGTCCCCTACCAACGGCTTAGGTAGAAGCACAGCTCCCACATCAGCACTGTTGCCCTGGCGCGGCCAGCACTGCCTCTAAGAGGCCACACCTGCCTCTGCCAAGGCCACTGGCCCTCATTCATCTGCGGGGACATTCTAGAGATATGCACTTGCAGACCAGTTACTAAAAAAAAAAAAAGTAGCAGAGTTCCCTTAATTTAGAAAAACTCACTATATATAGCTTGCATTCAGAGCCACATGGAGGCTTAATAAAAAATACCAATTTGTTAGGATAAATGCTTTTTCTATCTTGGAAAAAAAAAATCAGACTTATGCATCACCTCCAGTTAAGCACCAACCTAAAATAAGGTTTGTATTAATTAAATCCTGAAAAATCGATTTTTTTTCAAGAGGGGGAGAATCCAACTCACAGAAGAAAACCAACTTGAGGATCCCACAGGCCTCAGACACTGCAAGCTCCTAACCAGCGGCTCGCCCTCGCACTGAGTGTCGTTTGTGGTTAACACAGCGCTCTGCGGCCCCTCCCAGACATACGGTTTTCACTGAGGAGACTTGGGGGGAGTGCTCTGCTCTCGGCTGAGACGTTTCCCCATGGCCGAGGGCGAGGGCCGGCCCCCGGCCGGCCGCCTCTGGTCTCTGGGGGCTCCAGGTGTGGACTTGAGGGCTGGGGGCTCCCGGTATCTCTCCGCGGGCTCTGCCAGCTTCTTTTCCTCCTTCCCACAACCAACAGTGTTTGGCTTTTGTTCTTTTTGGGGTTGCAATGGGGAAGAAGGAGGCTCTTTACTTGTTCTCTGACAAATCTCTGCGTAGCTGGGCTTTCGCAATTCCTGGAAACAGACAATCCTGGGTTACCTGTGTGAAATGGTGTCTCCAGGGACAAGACAGGTAATCAAGTTCACTTAAAAGAGTTTTCAACTATAACTAAGTTTCCATCTTCACTAGCGTTTTTAACTTTTAAAAAGTTCGTAAAATCTAATGATTTAGTTTCCCCTGCCGTGTAGCACTCCCTCTGTGCCACTGTAGTAATGGATAAAACTAGAAAAGGTGTGAGGGAGAAGAGTGCTGACTGAACGCCATCCCCACCCAGCCCTCAGCTTGCTTGGGCAACGCGGAAGCCCAGGAGGAGTCCGGATGCTGCCTGCGCTCAGTCCGCCACCTCGGGACAACAGAAGGGTGTCCCAGGTGCCCACGGTGGGCAAAGGACCCTCACACAGTACTCAACCCTGAAAGGTAAACTCCAAAAACAGTCTTTAAATAAAAATGTTTTGCACATTTCAAACTACAAAGCACTGGAAATGTGTAAGAATGATGAAGACAGCTAAAATCTTCAAAGAAATGTGTAACAGAGTTTTCAGATAAGTGGAAGCATAAAGGCTAAACAACAGAAAAGTAAAATATTTCCCTTAGCTTTTTTTTTTTTTTTTTAGAGATACAGTCTCACTCTGTCACCCAGACTGGAGTGCAGTGGCGCAATCTCAGCTCACTGCAACCTCTGCCTTCCAGGTTCAAGTGATTCTCCTGACTCAGTCTCCCGAGTAGCTGGGACTACAGGTGTCCACCACCAAACCCAGCTAATTTTTTGTATTTTTAGTAGAGACGGGGTTTCACCATGTTGGCCAGGACCGTCCTGATCTTCTGACCTCATGATCTGCCTACCTCAGCCTCCCAAAGTGCTGGGATTACAGGCTTGAGCCACCGTACCCAGCCTCTCTTTTTATTATTATTATTTATTATTAAAAGTATTAATTTTAACCTATAAAAAAATCCTTTTTTAGACTCAGCCCAGGGGACAGTAAGGGATTAAACTCCCAAATTCAAGTAAAAAGCTCACCTAAGATCAAACTACAGAGGCCACAACTCAGAATAAGAGAGGCCACGGTTCACCCAGCAGGGAAAACCGCAGAAAGGAAGTCACTGGGGTTCAGGCCTGCTGGGCCCACAGGGGTTGGAGGCTGGTGGGGCCACCATCTTGCTCTTCCCGTCTCTTCATCAGACACATGATGTGCACACGCGCACACACACACGCGCACGCACACACACATGCGCACGCACACACACGCGTGCACACACACACGCGCACAAACACACACGCGCGCAAATTGCTGAAATGATCCTAAAGTCTATGGAGAAACAGGAGCTGGGGTCTTGTTACTACTCAAGAAACCTCTACTGACCAACACTGAAATAAAAGGACTACATGGTGGTCCGAGAAAGAACTAGAGCAGTTAGTGGAAAGTTATTAGCAAATATTAAGCATATTTTGTACAGAAAACACAACACAGACAGACGCAAATAAAAACCCACCAAATTAGATGTGATTAAAAAACGAGCAGGTGCAGGAGTGCGCAGCGTCTGTTCACACCAGAGCCTCGCGGCTGTCGTGCAGGAAGGCAGGCACGAGGTACGTACCGTGGCGGCTCCGTTCACCTGCACCGATTTACATGCGGTCGCAGTGAGGGCGGGAGGAAGTCTGTCCACACTGTGGGCTTCCCTCTGTTTCTCCGCCACCTTGGGATCACTGTAAAAATGCCACCCAATATTTGAATCTCATGCAACATCACAGGCCATTCAAGTCAGTAAACACCAAGGCGCTGGGAGAACTCCAATACTCACTCAGGTAAATGAGCTGGGGAGGGGGATCGCTCGTACGTTGCTGATACAGCACAAGAAGCCGGCACTGAGGGCTCTCGGGAGACCACTACAGGAAGGGTGTTCACACTTGCATCTGCACTGAGGGTCTGAAACAGGGTCAAGAGTGTTCATCAGAGTCCTGTTGGCACTAAGTGGAGCTGGTACCAATACCCGTTCACCCCACCCGTGAACAGCCTTGGGAGAGCGGCACAAGGACACAGGGGAGGAGGGTCTTCTCCAGCAAAAATGTCTCAAAGAGCCCAGGACTATCCTCTGCCCCACACAAGCGCCCACCCTTCTCTTTCTCGGCAAATGCCCCATTGTTCTTACATCACAAGCCTTATCTCCTCTCCCGCAATGATGATCTGCAAGCTTATTTCTTAACTGAACAGGCATCCAACACATCTCACCCACCTGGCACTTTGGGCCCAGCACGGCATGGCACCACAGTACACGCACATCTGCTGAGTGTCGAATCCTAACACAGTTCAACACAACTCATTCACGCAGCTGAGAAAAAACAATCGGCGTCTCCACACCCGTATAAATGTGAGCTCCCAGCCCTCCCTGAATTCAACCCCAGGAAGCAGGTGTGCGAATGCCCCCATCTCAACAGGTGAGGAAACTGAGGCCCAATACCTCGAAGTTAATTCATCCAAGGCCAGGAAGCTAAGGACGGAGCGAAACTTACTCCCTCCTTACTCCAGCCAGCGACCCCTGGGCAGTGGCTATTTCGTGTGTGCTTGATCTTATGCATGTGGGATGTAACGATACACTTGTCATGCAACTTAAAAAAGGCAGGAGGGCAGGTGATCGTCACACTTCTGCCCTTCGATGAAGGCTAACGACAGACTGAGAGCCCTTCCAGCCTGAGAACCAGAATCTGCTGCGACTCCTATGCTCAACCAGCAGGAATCCAGCTTGGTGGAAACAGGATGGCAAAGGACTCCTTTTGTAAAAGCGCATTTTAAATTCAGGGTAGGGGCCAGGTGCAGTGGCTCACACCTATAATCCCAGCATTTTGGGATGCTGAGGTGGACGGATTACCTGAGGTCAGGGGTTTGAGACCAGCCTGGCCAACATGGTGAAACCCCATCTCTACTAATAATACACAAATTAGTCGGATATGGTGGTGCATGCCTGTAGTCCCAGCTACTTGGGAGGCTGAGGCGAGGCAGGCGAATCGCTTGAACCTGGGAGGCAGAGGCTGCAGTGAGCCAAGGTCATGCCACTGCACTCCAGCCTGGGCCCAGAGCAAGACTCCATCTTAAATTAATTCATTAATTCATTCATTCATTCAGGCTATATTCAGTCCCAATGCAACTGAAATGCAGATCCACAACTGCAGGTCATGAAGCAAGTCAGAGTGACCGTCACAAGCTCCATGTCAACAGGGGAAGGGCTGAACCCCATCACTCCTGGAGCCTCCACCCCACTTTGAAACCCAAGGGCCATGCTGTTGACTCAAGAAGCTCCTGAGAAGCAGCAATGGAGCCCACTACACCTGGGTGGCGGCATGAGGCTCAGGGTCAGGCTTTTCAAAGCAGCAATTCATTCTTCAACAGAAACCTTACACAGAAACTCAAACTGGGCACAGCAGTAGCTGCTGTTTCTGAAGCAGGATTGGAGACCTGCCTCTTCTCCTCCACTCAATACCAAGGGTAGAGTAGGCCACAGTTGGAAAACGAGATCTTTAATGTGCATTTCTTCTCAAGGCACTAATACCTCAGAAATGATGGTGTGGAAATTTAAGGCTGTGTTGACAATCCTGGAATGTACTCAGTCCCCAAGGCTGGACACAGGAGCACGATCATCTACCAATATACAAAGGACTAGACATGTCACCTGGCTTTTAGTGTAAAGATGCTGCATCAAAATCCACCTTAAATTCTGCCCAAGGAACTAAGGAACTGTTCTATCCAATGCGGTGCCTTCCAGAAAGCCTGGGGGGAAGAGACACTGACTCTGCAGACCTGGGTGAGGGAGCAGGCGGCATGGTCACGTGGCGTGGAATAGACACGCGGTGGCTCTGGGGCACAGCCGGGGAAAGGGCCTCGGCACAGGGGACACGAGCAACCAGGAGTGCTCAGCAGGCTCTTCCTGGGCTCTTCCGACGCACAGGAGGTAACTGGGCAGAAAACTTTCTCTGCACTTCCCAGAGCCTTCAAACGTCAGCTGTGGCAGCTGGACAAGTCCCACCTTCACCTCGCTAAGCACGTTAGAGGCCAGAGCGCTGGGCTGAGCGTCCTCTGGCAACTGCAGCTCTGGATGACTCCTGGGATGATGTTCACTGCAGCCGAGGGGGCACCTCGTGGGGCAGCCCAGACCTCACCAGAAGCCACCCACACTGCAGTGGGGTTCTCCCAGGCTTCTTGCTCCTTGTCTCATGTAGATTACTACACATTTTACTTATTTCCAATACTATTCAGGTTCTTCTATTTCATTCTATTGTTTTGTAAAATAAAGGCAGGTCTGAACAACAATGACAATGCAATCTAAGTTTCTGGGTGAGAGAAAGGGTGTGTATAGCCTATCATTGCACAAGTTTCTACCTCTGACTTCATCAGACAGCAAGGTTAAGGAGAAGGCCCAGTCCTGGGATCAAGATTGGCCTTACCCCAAATCTGTGCGACCTCTGCAATCACATGGCCTCCAAGCCTCTCTTGAGTATTAAAAACAAACATGTATAAAGAGCTTAGCAAAGCGCCTGACACGGAACCCGTACCTAAACACTGTTGGCAACTATTAGACATGCAATGTATCCCTTACCCTTTCTTTGGATGGTCCTATTATCAAGCTAGATAGCCTGTTTTCAAACAAGTCCTCTGTCTTCAAATTGCCCGCAGCTCCAGGTAATGGAGGGAAGTTGGACAGCCCCAGCTCGAAGCTTGGCGACGGAGGCTTTGGTGGCGTCGGAGACTGTGTCTGGCTGCTCTGCAACAGAATGACATCCCAGGGTCACGGTGTGGAGAGAGAAGGCCACGCAGCTTCTCATTTCCACACCCATCTGGAAAATATCTGTAGAAACAAGCAGATCATTCAACCCAGACAAGGGCTTCCTCACCCAACTGAAGCAACTTCAACCATCTAGAGCAGAGCTTTAAAACTGAAATCTCAAGATGCTGCTGCCCAAGAGACGTGTCACCAAGGACACAGTGAGGCTAAGGTGCTATCCAAAGAGCCGTCCAGCCATGGCTGCCAGCACTCACAAACAGCAGGGGCAGCTGAAGGCAAGGGAGACGCTCTGGAGTGATGGAAAGCAGGGCAGCCTGAGTCTAGACATTAAACTTTCCCACTTCCAGACAAGTGTTGGGCTATTACAGCATGGTTTCTAATGCAAGTCACAAAGATAACTGTGAACAATACATGACACTCTCCACAACCTGTGTAAGAAATTTTACACACGTGCATCAAAAAAGTGGTTTAATAAAAGGGAAGGGGGCTTCAATTCTCTGAAAATAAACTTAATGAAAGTTATATTTTTTTAATAATTAAAAACACAGTATTTGATAACAAATTAGAATCAGATTCTTTGACTTCAAGAAAGCAAACTCAGTATAAAAGAAGAGAGTGTATTTTGTAAGCCCAAATCTCAGGAGAAAGGCGGTAATACCTTTTATTGGAAAATGATCTATCAACCCGCTTTAACAAGCTGGCAGTCATTTTGTGAGTACGCAGTTCCTCGGCTGAAGGCCACATGGCACAGAATGGGGAAATGAGTGTATTTTAGTTTAGAAATGAGTTTATATTTACTAAAGAATACAAGTATTTTTAGTTGAAACAATGAGCTACTTTGACCAGGAAGCAAAGCTCTCATGGGATCCACCTAACTGGAGAGTGCCAACGTTTCTCCAAAATTTATACACAGGAAGGTGAATGCCTGCATCAGTAGATTCCAGAGAAAATACATCAGAAGTGAAAGCAGGTCAAAGGATGAAAATGAACTCAGGCTGACACAAATCCCAGTCTGTGACATAAACCCCAGCACAGTCTGTGTTGGGCATTCTACTTGCTTCTCTGCTCCATGGGACAGGTGCCTAATTTTAGCTTAGCTTTTCCCAGTTAGGTGTCCTTGGCAGTAAGCTTGTTACCTACTAAGCAGCTGGCTGTTGTACGCTCTCTATAACCTAGTATTGTGAACATGATGCTCGAAATAATCGTGCAAAGCTCTAAGTTACACATGGCCATTGTGATGGCAAAGCGGTTTTAAACATTTGCACGTTTCTGAGGTGAACACAGCTTTTCAGAAGATAAGCATCATTAGAGAGACAGCCTTCCCAAAAAACGTATTTAAATCTCAACTGCTCAGATGTTGGAGTTACAAAATGACATTGCCGACAGATGGGACTTGACTTGGAAGGCAGTGTTAAAATTCTCTAGGATCTGAGCGCCCCTGGGTGAGGTCTGAGTACTGCTCAGGTCCCATGGGCGTGGTTAGGCCCGAGGCTCACACACTCTTACAGAAAAAGAATCTGGACCTTTCTTTTTTTGTTTGTTTTTGAGGCGAAGTCTCGCTCTGTCGCCCAGGCTGGAGTGCAGTGGCCGGATCTCAGCTCACTGCAAGCTCCGCGTCCTGGGTTCACGCCATTCTCCTGCCTCGGCCTCCCGAGTAGCTGGGACTACAGGAGCCCGCCACCTCACCCGGCTAGTTTTTTGTATTTTTTTTAGTAGAGAGGGGGTTTCACCGTGTTAGCCAGGATGGTCTCGATCTCCTGACCTCATGATCCGTCCGTCTCGGCCTCCCAAAGTGCTGGGATTACAGGCTTGAGCCACCGCGCCCAGCTGAATCTGGACCTTTCTGAGGTCCTGAGAGCAAGTACGTAATACGATGGGCGTACGCTCTGTAATCAGTACAACACTGGGCCACACACCGAAGCTTCTAAGCAGGTCAGTCATGAACACACGCACCAGGAAAGCAAGGCAAAACGGAATGGAACAGAAACAGGGGTGGGAAAACATCACAGCAGGCACAACAGTTCCCCACGTTTAAATGCTTGCCTTGTTAGTCCAAATGGTTACAGAAATTCACTAAATCCAAATGGAATCAACCGATAAAAACTGCGTTACCAACTAGTTAAACAAAAACTAGACTAAGCCGACTTTATGAAAGGCAGAATTTCTGAGTTCTAAACAGAGATTGTATCTTTTGTGACGAGAAAACACCTGTGTGATGGCTTGAGGGGCTGGACCAGGATTTGTCCAGGTCTTCTCCAGCATTCCTTGTATGGAATTCCACATCTGCAAGCCCGTGGAGGCATCCCTCCCATCTTTGTGGGTACTGCTAACTGCCACTGTGCCGTCCTTCCTATCTTTGTGGGTACTGCTAACTCTGCCACCGTGCCGTCCCACCACTGGCTGTGGAGAAGTCCATGCCAACCTCCACTAAAGACCAGCACAAACATTTTCCACAGGAGAAACTGTTTAATCAACTCAAGCAAAATCAACACGTCTCGTGTACTTACCGCCACAAAAACCTATCACTTATGTTTGGGTCTGTCCTGCCAGTAAGTTACAGCAGAAGGAGATAATGCTTTCTACACAGCAGGAGAGTATTCGAAAGTTTTGAAGGAAAAACACCAACAAACAAATTGCTCCGTGGAAGACGCTTACTCTGCTCATTGAAACGAATGGCTCCAGTCTTTTGACTCTTCGGTACAGTGCCACACAGAAGAGCTCACGTGCACAGCCGTGTGTAGGCTGCAGTGCGTGCGACAGCAAGCTCCTGGCCATGCCTATGCCACAGCACACACGCCTATGCACGATGGAGTCCCGTGCAGCACATCGCTATTGCCAAAACCTCTACAACTGCTTCCTCCTAGGCCAGCCAGGGTGTCAGTTATTATTTAGCGGATTTCAGGTTACAAGTCTTTTGAAACACTCATTCTTGTGTCTTAACCTTAATCCATTTAATTAAATCTCAGGTTTGGTATAAATTAGATTTAAATGTCTTGTCAAGAGGCATATGCTTTATGTACTCACTGTAAACTTCTCCTCCCTTTTCTTCCGGTAGCCAAAGGAATTCTTCCTAGGAGTGGAAAGTGAAAGACTGTTATTTTTTTCCCACGTGGAGAATTTACTGTTGAGCACGTTTGCACTCACATAAGCAAAGTACACATCAACTCAGTCTTCAACACTTTAAAACCTTTCAAAGATGACTTTCAAGTCTAGAATCCCAACTCTAAGAAGCATAAGCGGAGCAACACAAAGTGTACGGCAAGGGACTAACGCGGAAGTCCAGGCAGGTGACAGAGAACGGAAGAAAACACTGACTAAAACCATCTCCCTGGTGCCTCCCTGGGAGGTCTGTTGAGACGTGAGTACTGAAGATCCCCTGGGTCGAAATGACAAGACACATAAAATCTGAGACGGAGCTCCATCAGTGAGTTGTTTAAATGGTGGTAAGAATTTTCCCGGTGCAGATTTGTTTTACATCAGATTTAAAAGATCCCAAATACTCCGTCCCATCCCTTCCTCCGCCCTCTCGGCTTCCTCCACTACTGCCTCCATGGCGGACCTCTGTGCCCCAAAGACTTCCTGTCCTCGTCTGCCAGCCTCAGGAACCACGTTCTGGACCTCCCCCTGCAGGCAGCAAGGCCATGCACACACGCAGCTGATAACCACAAGACACACACTGATTAAGTGGTGACTTCACGTAGAGACCTGGGACACTAGGATGGCCAAGGCATTCCCATTTCCTTGGACAGGGTTATGTGGACTAACAAGTCACATGACACACATTAATCTCAATTTATAATTTAATGGAATGCAAAGACTCCCCCAAGAGCCTTGCATTACATAACTTAGAAAGGAGTTCAGACATAGTCTTGACTAATCCCTTCATTTACAGAAAACCAAAAAGTAGTCTTGCCTAAGATGGCCTAACACTGGAACACTCCGTGGAACCATGGGCCAGCCCCTCTAAGGGAAGGATGGCACAAACCTTTAGGATTCTGGAGCAAATCTCTATTATCTCCTACAGAAAAATTCCTGGAAATAGCTCCTGGCTTTCTACTGGGGCCTTGCGGAGACTGCAAGCCAGACTATGGGACATGGGTGAGTACTGAGCCACAGGTGGGGCACGAGTCCTGACAACCCACCCTCCTGCAGGAACAGGGGCCTTGGTGCTCCTTGTCCTGGATCCCTGCCTGCGGCCTCACAGGGAGAAAGGGACCTGGGCCTGCATTATGGACAGCCATCCCAACACACACCTGGCTCAGCACCACTCCCTAATAGGGGGTGCTCCGGAAACCCAGGGAGCTGAACGCCCACTCCGCTGTGCCACGATTCAGAACTGGTGGAAAGGTGGGGCTACCATGGCTCATGAACAGAGCTAGGAATGCAACCAGATGAGAGTCTGGAGTGGGACAGGACTCAACTGGCCCTGGGGACCTGGGAGGGGTGTGAGATGGATGATGCCAGCACCTGCCTGCCCAGAGGCACTGTCCTGAGTGAGGGACAGCAGCCACATGGGAAGAGGACATCCCGCAGGGCTCGGCAGAGGGCATCCCTCCGCCAAAGGCAGCCTGCTCGTCACTACCGGCTGAGACACAGGGGCACCCATCCTTTGGAAGACAGTGGTGTCCAGGACACAGACCTGCCTGCCATGGAGTCCTATCCCAGTCACCATCAGTGGGCCCAGTCAACACTCCCCACACCCTCACTGGGCTCCACGTAACCCGTGTCAGACCCAGAAGCCCACCTGCAGCTGCAGAACACGTCGGTGCCCATCATGCAGAGAGCAGGTTGGCCAAGCCAAGGCTCACCGACAGGGCCATGGCGGGTTCCAGCTCAGAAGAGGTAGCAAGGGACCCAGGGTGGTGCCAGCACCACAGAAACACCACTGTGACACCTGCGACTCTGAATGCGGTGGTGTGAAGAGACCCTGAAGAGGTGTGCTTCCCCCAAATAACCCTAACAGTAGCTCCACCAAGGCAGCCACCTGGCACTTGGGGCTCCTCATGCCATTCAACCCGGCTGGGCTGTGCCCTGCCATGGCCGCCATGCAAGGGTAGGGACGTGTGTCTGGACTCCGGTAAGGGGTTCTCCAGGGTATCTTAGCACTTTGGCCCAATAGAGAAAGTTAATGGAAACAACACAAACTCTCCCAAAAAGGGGAGGTGGAGGCTGCTGGGGATCAGGTTCTCGGGGCAAGCAAGGCCTGGAGCACTCCCTGTGAAACAGAACAAGCTCTTTCTCAACACAGAGGGAAGGAGGACGTTATGAAGATCAGCTCTGGCTTCAGGACCCGTTGCAGAAACAGGCTGCAGGAGCTGCATGCACTTTCCCCACCGATTGAGCCCAAGCGGTGTTCGCTTCCTAAACCACTCCCTGCTGCAGTGCTCAGGTTTCAGGTGGGAGGACAGTTGTCCTCCCTTGGTGGGGAGACAGAGGGTCTCCATTGGTGCAAAATCTGCATCTGTTAGGCAAAAGCATAGACTTGTTACCACTGCAGCATTTGCAAGTTCAGGTATTGTTCAAGGGTATCCTGGGTGGAGCACACTCATTAGCAAGTGTTGGACTCTCGGCTTCAAAGCCACCTGTATACACTGTGTGAGGGAGCTGGAATTCAACAAGCCCCACTTTCACTTTCCAGGAAGCTTCTTGTGACGCTCATATGAACAGGGCACACTGAAGGGCACAGGAGGCTGAGGCCAGGGGTCTTGTCCATTTAGTCTGCCTCCTTCCACACCATGCCCACAATTGATGCCCCTCAGAGGGAGCCACATGGCCTTGATGAGTGGGGCTCTGTCCCAAGTCTGAGCCCCAGCTCTGCAGCCCTCCTCCCTCCAAGCTTCTGGGCCTTAAGAACCCCAAACTGAGACCCAGGGCTAGCAACTGCTCCCTGAAGTCAGTGACTCTGCATGACACAGTGGGCCCCTTTTGGCTTTGCATCTCCAAGGCCTGTTAAGCCAGCCTGACGCCATGTTTCCTAGAGACAGCCCAGTGCCAGCTCTCCCAGACCATGGTGCCTTCCAATGCCACTGCATAATCCCTGCAGCAACTCCTATGTGCTCATTTAATCATTATGGGCAGGAATGAGATGCTTCTGATGCCTCTTCATGTTGAATTCTCACTGCACAGAGCGTGTGCATGGGGGCAGCAGGAAGAGGGGTCTGCACATGAGGCACAGTGCTATACATTTTGTGTACAGAAAACTCAGAAAAAGTTCAGGAATTAAAGTCACTTGTTTGTCACTTATGAAAGGGAAATCCTGACAGTCCTTATCAAGGCAAGGACTGGCCTTATCAACAATGGGCGGGTGCGGTGGCTCACACCTGTAATCCCAGCACTATGGAAGGCAGAGGCCGGAGGATGGCTCTAGGCCAGGAGTTCAAGACCAGCCTGGGCAACACAGCGAGATCCTGTCTCTACAAAAAATTTAAAAACTAGCCAGGCATGGTGGTGTGCACTGAAGTCCTAGCTATTCAGCAGGCTGAGGCAACAGGATTGCTTGAACCCAGGAGTTCAAGGCTGCAGTGAGCCATGATCATGCCACTGTACCCCAGCCTGGGCAACAGAGCAAGACCCTGTCTTAAAAACAAACAAAAAACCAACTACAGGATTGATGCCAAAAAAATATTAAAACAGTGGGTAGGAAGCACAACCACGACCCATCCTGGCTAGTCTCAACCCTCCAGTGAGATCAGACTTCAATCCTGATCTGCCTGGTTACCCGCTCCAGGCTCCACCTGCAGTGCCTGGTGCACACCCCGCTGGAGGGCACCAGGCCAGCAGCCATGGGGCAGATTGGACACTGCTCTCGCAGAGGGGCCTGGTGAGCCAGGGATGCTGCCAAGAGGAGACTGCAGGCACATGGGATGAAGTCTATGACTGCTGAGCTCCAATGTTTCTACAGACAATGATCTAAAACATCTACAGTTCTCACCAGATAATGATCTAAAACATCTACAGTTCTCACTGAACCATTTCATATTCCAAAAAAGATGAAGCCATTTAAGTCTCAACAATTATATAAAACCCTTTATGTTTATAGCCTTCAATTAGATTTTCTGTGATATACTTAAAGACAATTACAAAACAGACCTAAATTAAAGAATTTTTAAAATATTAGTAGTTTATGATGGTACACAGTGGCTGCTCAACAACTCACCTTCCCCTCCCTAAACCAGGAGAGGATTCAAGACTGCCTGGCTCCACGCGCCCAGGCCCAGCCTCTCTCTTGGCATATGCTGAAGGGTTTTGTATCCGTGTTCTAGTTTGACCTGCTTGCCTTGTTTGTGGACTCCGGACACCATTAATTAATCGATCTGCAGTGAAGTTAAATATTGAAGGACTTTCTAATAACCCAGGTCCTCTCTCCGCACTAGGAATTGCATGCCGCAGATGAGATTTACTAGGATTCCTGTAAATAAAAATGGTTTTATGTGTTCAATTATAAAATGATCAAGGCATGACATAACATGCATACTGACAGGGAATAGCTAAGCTGAAATCTGCTTTCTATTTAATAAAATAGAAAAATAGGATTTGGGATGGTTAACTCCTACCACACAGGATAATACAAATCTATTAACAATGTGCCACGATTCTGCTGTTTTTCCGTCCAGGCCCAAATTAAAATCAGGCACACCTGATGTGTACAAGTTGCCCCAGAGCCTCCTCTCAGAGAATCTGAGGCAGGCACCCACGCCAGATGGTACTGCTTAGTCTTTACAGAATGCAGCTGTGTGCTTCAAGTGGCTCTGTCTGCAAGGAGCAGGATTAGTGATCAAAGCTCTCTCATCCCAGCTCCGGAAGGGCAGTAGCGTAAAGACCAAAAGCACTAGGAACGCCCCGGAACTTGCCTGCTTCGAGGAGGATACTGTCTGAGAGAAGTCAGAGGAGACGCCGCAGGCTTGAACGTTGGAGACGTAAACCCATTTATAAATCCAGTATTTGGAAATGGAGTTACCTAGATTCATTTGAAAACAGACAAGTAAAGAAACCATAAAACAGACTTCAATTTCATTAATACCAACAAATCTGTGGAAACCAACGGCATTTCTTGATGTTGTCAGAGTCATGACTCATGTTGAGACACGTATTTTACAATTTTATCGCCAATGGGTGCTGTTTAGAAGTAGGCTGGAGCTTTTGTGCATCCTTTCAGCCAATCCTTACAACAATCCAGCAAGGAGAACTGACACGTGGAAACTGGCACTGAGAGGAAAGACGTGGTCAAGAGTGCGTGGGCTCCAACAAGTGTTGTAACCTTTAGCACGTAAGTCTGATACTACCTCCATCGCTGGCAGGAAGTCAACAGGTCTTGATTCCTAATGGCTTTAATACAACTCATCAACGTTCTCAATCTCAGGAGCACCTGCACCTGCACTAACCCTACTGCTGCTCGCTCGGCTTGATCCAACCACAGACTGACAGCGCCCTTACTTTACCTCGACACAAGTCCTGCTCTGCAGACCAGGGTATTTTCATATCATCATTATTCCCCAAGTCACAAGGTAAACATGGCATGCAAATATACTAACATAAGATTCAGAAGAAACTTAGAAAGGGCCACAGAATCCCTAAAAGATCTTAAGCAGTTAAAAATATTGAGCATAGAATTTTAAGTATCGGCCAACTATTTTTAAAATCTAGACACATACAAAAGTAAGATAAAACTTAGTGTTAAAACAGTTCCTTTAAAGAAAAACAAAAAACAAACAAACAAACAAAAAACCAAGATCAATCACTCTAATTCTCTGGCTTCTGGATCCATGGTTTCCAATACATTCTGAATCACTAACATTTTGCTCCTAATGCTCCTGACGCAGGGCGCTTAGTTCCTGAGGGCCTTACAGTCCACACCCTCAATGTCACTAAAGTGACAGAGATAGGCATAGAGCCCTCTCCTCGTTTGGAGAAAAAGAGAAAGAAAAGGAAAAAAGCAAGTAATTCTCCTTAATTAGAGCTAACTGGAAGATATAACAGAAAAAGAATATTAGAGATAGCTTGGGACCAAAATGAAATCATACAAAAGGCAAGTTAGAATCTCCAATTTGCTACTTGAGAGACTCTATATGCTGTAAGAATCGGATTCTTTAAAAATACATCACACATGGCTGGGCGCGGTGGCTCACGCCTATAACCCCAGCACTTTGGGAGGCCGAGGCGGGCGGATCACTTGGTCAGGAGATGGAGACCATCCTGGCTAACACGGTGAAACCCCGTCTCTACTAAAAATACAAAAAATTAGCCAGGTGCAGTGGCGGGCGCCTGTAGTCCCAGCTACTCGGGAGGCCGAGGCAGGAGAACGGCGTGAACCCAGGAGGCGGAGCTTGCAGTGAGCCGAGATCCGGCCACTGCATTCCAGCCTGGGTGACAGAGCGAGACTCCGTCTCAAAAAAAAAAAAAAAAAAAATACACCACACAGGAGGAGCCGTGGATGCAGACCTAGATCTGAGGCTGTAAATCACGGGAAGAGCAATGAGGACTATTCATTTCAAGCAAGTCATTTTACAGACAGAGCCCTGATATTCCAGTAAATTTGCTCAAGATAAAAAATAAAGGCCGGGCGCGGTGGCTCAAGCCTGTAATCCCAGCACTTTGGGAGGCCGAGACGGGTGGATCACGAGGTCAGGAGATCGAGACCATCCTGGCGAACACCGTGAAACCCCGTCTCTACTAAAAAATACAAAAAACTAGCCGGGCGAGGTGGTCCTGTAGTCCCAGCTACTCGGGAGGCTGAGGCAGGAGAATGGCGTAAACCTGGGAGGCGGAGCTTGCAGTGAGCTGAGATCCGGCCACTGCACTCCAGCCCGGGCTACAGAGCGAGACTCTGTCTCAAAAAAATAAAATAAAATAAAATAAAATAAAATAAAATAAAATAAAATAAAATAAAATTGGTCATATATAAAAAATAAAGTTGATTATTAATGCTATAACTTCCTATTATCACTTGTTGGGGATTAATAGGCATGACCTCTTCAGTTGCAGAACAAGGGACACACATATTTTAGAGCAAGTAAAAGGCTGCGATGGAGAGCCCCAGTTCCAAGACTCAGAGCAGGACCAGCTGGCTGGCACACACCGCAGTCTGAACATACAACACCAGTCAAGGCCATAAGCTGACCCAGGACCCCAAGGACCCCCAAGAGGGTCAACCATGATTAAAGAAATGGGAGAAGCAACTGCTGCAGGAAGAACTAAAAGGACAAGCACGGCAAGCCACGTGCAGCGATGATTCTTCAACACCCAGAGCCTACGCACTAAAGTCTCTCTGAGGTTCTCTCATGATATGCTTTTGGGAAAAGGAAGTATTCAGCTACGGGTACACTTTTACAGATGTACTACTTCAAAAAACCAGAAACTTTCTTACCATTAGGACTTACTCAAAAGAGACAGACGTAACTTTACCAAAGGTTCTTCTACTGCAGTGGTTCCAGACTCAAGGGGAACCGGGGGCCTCTGAAAATCTCTCCCTGTCCCCGCCTGCAATTCACACGGCCTTAGGAGCTATTTTATAAATGGAGTATGGTTTCATTTCTCTGCTTAGAAACCTTAGACAACTTCCCACAAGCACTAGGCCAAAGCCCACAAGCCTCAGGACAGCTAAGCACCTGTGCAGTTAGGCCTGGAAACTTCCAGCTCGCTCCCCAACTCCCTGCCACCTGTCTACGCTTCAGCTCCAACACCCATGAATCCACGACCATCTTCTGTTCATGAAACTTCCTTCTCTTTGATTCCTTCTGAAAAACTCGTACTTAACCCGAAAAGCTCAACCCAGACAACAACACAATCCCTGATAAGCCCTGTCTGTCTGTGTTCTGCCATTCTGTACACATTCTGTACGCGTGTCTCCTTGGCATGTTTGACTTTTCCAGCCTGAGTTGTTTGATGGGCCCATATCTTCACTTTCCGTATACAGGCATTTGTTTTCTCGAGTTCACTCTGCTCTGAACCTACCCTCCTTTTCTGCCTGTCAGCAGTGACGTCCCTGCCCATCAGGGTGCCTGGCTCCCAGCCATCCGACCCCGAGGACCACCCAGTCTTCCCTTAGTCCACAGCGAAACCCTGGACATGAACTCTTCTAAGCTACTAACTCAATTTCTGCTTTCTGACCATAACCTTCTATGGATACTACCCTTCAATCTCTCCAATTCCAACTAACCTGCATTGCTACCTCATGCAAACCTCTAGTCCATGAACCCATCTTCACTTCTCAACTAGACTTCAGCTTCAAGGACATGCTCATCCGTGTATTGCTGACTCTTGTGCATCCAATGCCACCAAACTCATGCTGATTCCCACCCAGGACCCACCTGATCTTTCAAGCATCTATAGCAGCACACAAAGATCCAGTACAGACTTATGAATTCCAACCACAGCCTTAACAAAGGCCAAAATCCATAAAAATTAATCATGTCAACCAACTCTAAGGCTGGTGAGAAGTGAGTAAAATAAGGCTGGTGAAAGAGCAGGCCTTCTCCTCGGCCTTGCTGTCAGAAGCCTATTAAACACCTCTTCCTCCTCAGTTAATCCCCCTTGCATTGTCCTCTGTGTAGGGGACACCAGGTACACTACAGCTCTTACCGCCCTCTGTATCTTGCTAAGAGCTGCATGACAAGAGCTCGGGAGAGGGGAGAGTGGAGAGGGGCTGAGCAAGGATTGTGATCACAGCAATCCAAAGTTCTTTATGCATAAGCTCTGTTCTCAACTAAATTTAAAATCCCCCACATAACTTGAAGGTCTATTTTACTATGTCAGACTGCACACATATCTGGCTTCCTATTAGATGAGGATTTTAATCCTTCAAATTATCTAGCATAGTGTCTACAACATAAATTCCTAGTAAAGAAACGACGTACCAGGGGTGGGTCAAGATAGCTATGCGTTGCTGACCACGTCTGGGGCGTGATCAGGCTGTACAGGGGGAACTGCTGCTGGGGGCTGTACATGGGAGGGAAGTAGAACGATGTCGCGTAGCGCTGCTGGGCATACAGGTTCACGTCCAGGGGTCTAAATCCATTCTTTGGCAAAAATGTGTTTATAGCTATTGCCTTTGCTTTTATCCGCGCCTGTTTGAAAATATGTAAGTTTCTATTAGAATACTTAAGAACATCAATTTGCAAATAAACAAAGAATAACCAATGGTCTTGCTTACCTTAATTGGTTTTCCTTGAAAAGTTTTGACTTCTTCTCGAAGGTATTTGTAAGCCTAAGGGCAAAATTAAGTATAAAATTCCATTCGATTAACCTTATGAATAAGAGGCACCAATAGTTCACTCAATAGCTCAAACAGGGAAATATATATTTAAATTATGGTGAACAGAACTTAGAATAATGATTCTTGACACCCCCTGGGTCACAGATCCCTTAAAATAACCTCATAAGAGCTATGGAACGTGTACCCCAAATTCTCACAAACAAGATTTGTACACAATTTTGTAAGTATTAATAGATGCCATAGAAGTCTCCCAAAGACCACTGGCTAAGAACCTTGACCTGGTGGAAAATGATGAATACTGAGTTCCTAGTATTAATCCCAATTTCAGATTAGGAGTATGCAGTTCAGGAAATACCAGACAGGAAGGAAAAGGATTAGGATCATAACATTCTTTACATATCTCCTTGTTCTTCTCCACACTAATTCTACGTTAAACCCCTATAAAACCGTGAAGGCCCTGCACCTCTGATACAGTCTCATCCAATCACCTTCGCCGCGCAGGCTGGCAGAGCTCACGCTCAGCTCCACAAACATGGTTACTCTATCTTCCGTCCCCCTTTTCCCCGCCATCCAATTCAAACCCATCTTTCAGGTTTCTGTGTTTTATTTTCTGAACCATTTAACACTTTATAATACATGTGTTAGTTTTCCCACAAATAAGACGTTTCCTTCCCTTAAGGGCAGGAAAACTACTCACTCCTTATACTTCCTTACAGAGCTTACTTCTCAACCATTAAAAGCATCTTCCAACATACAATGAAGTCTGCTGGGAGATGAAGATTAGGTTCAAATTTCCCCCCAGCACTTTGCAAATAGTAAAACTTTTCTCTGCCCAGACAGAAGAACAAAACTGATTTTCCTAGGTTGCTTAGCTTGCTGTCCTTAGAAAGTAAAATCACATGCTTTTTATATTGCTATAAAAATTATCCATACAAATACACTCATTTAAGTTTCTACAACTTGATTTCCTCTGCAGATTATATTCGAACTTACTATCACAAATAATCTCAATGCCCAAGTTTAGTCCCAACATGCACTAATACTAAAAACTGGTAAACTATGCAATTCATAGGGTGATGGTGGAAAGAACTTACCTGTTGTGCATCAGCTTCTGTTTCAAATGTAATAAACCAATTATCATTATATGCAAATTCACAGTTTATAAATTTTGGTAAATTATCTCCTTTAAATAGTGCTTCTACTTCCTACAGGAAATAGAGATGTTAGAAATTAATTCTCAACAATGCCACTTTTTGTCCTCACCAAAAATGTTTTAACAAATGCATTATCTTAAGGAACTATCCTTAAACAAACTAACACACCATGATGCCTAGTAAATCTCTCTTCCAAAAAGGATGAGGGTTCAGCAGGGCTTCCAGAATCAGAATCACAATGCCATAGAGAAAAACAGTTACACAGCTTACAGCTTCCCCTACTCTCAAGATACCATTAAGCTAAATTAATGTGAAAACTATCATACCATTTTCTGGGCTGATAATTTCACAACTTTAAAAAATAAAAATAAAAACATTGCTTGGACTTCTGTTTCTGCCCATGATGGACTAGATCTACTCTCCCAGATGACTCAATTTAAAAAACAAAGACAAAATACATGAAGAACGGTTTCAGGCCCTGAACTCCAGCATGTACACGAGTGTGATCCCTGAGAGGGACATGAACGGGGTGCGGGGGGTTGGTGGCCCTCAGTGCCTGGGCCACAGAGCCCGCAGGGTAAGCCTGAGACGGCCTTCCCCACATCTCCAGCCTGGAAAACAACTGCCTGAAGGAGGAGAGGGAACAAGCCCAGGGCAGGCTCACCAAGACCAGAATGGTTTGTTTTCCCACTAGCCACCGTGGGAAACTCTCCTAAACCCACAGGATAGCAGGGACAGTGCTCAGAAGGGCACTGCTTCAGCCGTGGGGAAAATGAGCCCTGGAGAAAAGGCTGCTCTGATTCCACCTAACAAGTTGGCTCCAAGTAACTTAACTGCATTTCAAAACAAAGCTCAAGAATATTTATTAGAATACAAAAATATTCAGTAAAGTAAAATTTAAAACGCCAAGCATCTCCTCCAAAATCACAAAGCATGCAAAGAAATAGAAAAATATGACCTATAATGCAAAAGATTAGACCTAGAAATGACAGAGACGATAGACTTAATACACATAAAACGTTTACTGCATGTATATTCCATATCCCATAAAAGGTAAAGACTGAGCATGTTAAACATACATGGAAGATTTTTAAAAAGATCCAAATCAAACTTCACTGGAGATGGAAAATACAGTGTCTGAAATCAAAACTACACTAAATAAAATAAACAGCTGGCTAGACACTTTCTGAAGAAAAGGGCGAAAGGGAGAAGAAAACATTTAACAAAATGGCTTGATAAATTTCAGGTACAAGAAGTTTGACATCTACGCCAAAGTATATTGCAATCAACTTGCTTAAAACCAATAGTAAAATCTTCACAGCAGCCAGAGAAAGACTTACTACACACAGAAGGATGATGATAAAAACCACAGAAAACGTATACCAGAAGAGAGAATATCTTTAAAACACAGAAAGGAAAAAACCCCATCAATCCAGAAATCTATATGCAGCAAAAATACCTTTCATAAATGAAGGTGAAATAAGATTTTCCCAAACATACTAAAGCTGAAAAAAACTCATCATCGGCAGACCTGCACAAGACATGCTAAAGGAATATCCAGGCAGAAGGGAAGTCCAGATTGACATAAAGGAATAAGAAGCACTGTAAATGGTAAATACTGAAAAAACATAAAACACGTTTTTCTTATTTTTAATCTCTTTTTAAAAATGAGTTGTTTAAAGCAAACACAACAACGATGTATTGTGAGGCTTATGACTGTGTAGAATTAAAATGTATGACAACAGCACAGGCCAGAAGTGGAGAATGGGAGAGCATGGCTGTAAATGGGAGAGCATGGCTGTAAGGTCAAGAGGTATGCTGCTCTGTGAATTACACGGACTCTACTACAGTTAGAGGGTCAGCTGGAAAGCCTAAAGAAAGGGGGTCCAATCTTTTGGCTTCCCTGGGCCACACTGGACGTGGAAGAACTGTCTTAGGCCACACGTAAAATACACTAACACCCAACGATAGCTGATGAGCTTTTTTTAAAAAAAAAAAACAACTCATATTGTTTTAAGAAAGTTTGCGCATTTGTGTTGAGCTGCATTCAAAGCCATCCTGGGCGGCATGCGGCCCACGGGCTGGAGAAGCATGCCCTAACGCACAACTAAAAAACAGAAACAAAGAGTTATAACTAATAAGTCAAAAAAAGGAGATAAAAATACACATTTAATCCCAAACAAAAGGAAGGAAAAGGGAAAGAAAATAAAGAACAGAAGAGACAAACAGAAAACAAACAGCAAGATGAAGAATTTAAATTTAATCATATCATTACATCATTAACCTCTTAAATGTAGATGGGCCACGCTCTGAATTAAAAGACAGAAACTGGGCCGGGTGAGGAGGTTCATGCCTGTAATCCCAGCACTTTGGGAGGCCAAGGCGGATAGATCACAAGGTCAAAAACCAAGACCATCCTGGCCAACACTGTGAAACTCTGTCTCTACTAAAAGTACAAAAGTAGCTTGGCATGGTTGCGCACGCCTGTAGTCCGAGCTACTTGGGAGGCTGAGGCAGGAGAATCGCTTAAACCCAAAAGGCAGAGGTTGCAGTGAGCTGAGATCACGCCACAGCACTCCAGCCTGGCAACACAGTGAGACATCATCTCAAAAAAAAAAAAAAAAAAAGAAGACAGAAATTTTCAGATTGGATAAGAAAAGCAAGACCCAATTACACACTGCTCACAAGAAATCCACTTTAAATAAGAAAACACAAACGAGTTAAAAGAGGATAGAAAAGACCTACCATACTAATGTCAATCAAGGAATGCTAGAGTGGCTATATTCATACCAGATACAAGAAGAAAAACAGCAACAAGGAAAAACAGGGCCATTCCATAAAAAATTTCTAGCCAGGTACACTTCAAAAAGTACAAAAGGAACTTGACAACCAAATGAACTACAAAAAAGGATTCCAGGATTCTAATGCCCTATGCTGTTGTCCCATCACTGGTAAATGCTTACTGGTTAAAACACAAAACACATCAACGCAAAAGTCACACTTGACTAATGGTAAATTAGGATTATGACTTTTAAACTCAAACAATAATACTTTCAGGCTACTAGACCATCAGTCTACTAGTGGCAAGAACGGTTGACTCCTCTGCCTCTGGGAAAATCCTATTTTTAAGAAAATCAGAATCAGTATTTAAAATGTATTCATCACTGACAAGCACCTAGTGACATTTAAAGAACAATTTTCTGGAAACTCCTAGCCTACATTTCTAAGACCCAGTAGAAGGGCTCTATAAAAATTATACAGAGTCCTTGGGAACTTCTTTTCTTACGTGGATTGTTTTAGGCTACTTATTTTCCTTCCTTTTTTTCCCAACTTTTAATTTATCAAAGTTTCCTTTAAACCTTCTCTCTTAAGACTTTCATTGCTCAAGTTTTACAACAGATATAAGGTCAGCAGTTTTGAATAATATAAATATTCCAAAATCAATGTCTACTGCTAAATGCAGAAAATTCTCCTTGGTTGAAGTTTTACAAACATTTCAAGTCTTAAAAATTAGGATCTATGTTTTAAATATTACTTTAAGTTAATACAGATGTCCAAATTAGTCATAAGAAATAAGCTGGTCCTCGGCTGGGCACGGTGGCTCACACCTGTACTCCCAGCACTTTGGGAGGCCGTAATCCCAGCTACTCGGGAGGCTGAGGCAGGAGAAGTGCTTGAACCCGGGAGGCAGAGGTTGCAGTGAGCCAAGATCACGCCACTGCATGCCAGCCTGGATGACAGAGCAAGACTCTGTCTCAAAAAAAAAAAAAAAAAGCAAGAAATATGCTGGTCCTTCATATTCAGACCCTTAATAAAAATAGGAGGAAAAAATTATAATCCGAAATTCTTTTTCTCCACATACTACAATACAGAACTAGTAAAGACAGGCTGAGTTGAACAGAAGGTAAAACTTGCTAGGGTAGGACCATACTTACATGAGAGTAACAGAATTTCTCATGCCAGGCAGAGAACTTTGTTGGAATCCTAACCTTTGCCACATGCTAGTTTTCCTTAAGAAACTCTCACACACACTAACCCACTCGGACTGAAAAGCTAAATTTGGAAGCCTGAGCAGCGATGTCCATTTCCTCGGCAGAGAAGGTGTGTGGAAAGATGCAGTATGAATGATGAGGCGGAAATCACATGAAGTATGAATGATGAGGCGGAAATCACATGAAGTATGAATGATGAGGCGGAAATCACATGCAGTATGAATGATGAGGCGGAAATCACATGCAGCATGAATGATGAGGCGGAAATCACATGAAGTATGAATGATGAGGCGGAAATCACATGAAGTATGAATGATGAGGCGGAAATCACATGCAGTATGAATGATGAGGCGGAAATCACATGCAGCATGAATGATGAGGCGGAAATCACATGCAGTATGAATGATGAGGCGGAAATCACATGCAGTATGAATGATGAGGCGGAAATCACATGAAGTATGAATGATGAGGCGGAAATCACATGCAGTATGAATGATGAGGCGGAAATCACATGCAGTATGAATGATGAGGCGGAAATCACATGAAGTATGAATGATGAGGCGGAAATCACATGCAGTATGAATGATGAGGCGGAAATCACATGCAGTATGAATGATGAGGCGGAAATCACATGAAGTATGAATGATGAGGCGGAAATCACATGAAGTATGAATGATGAGGCGGAAATCACATGAAGTATGAATGATGAGGCGGAAATCACATGAAGTATGAATGATGAGGCGGAAATCACATGCAGTATGAATGATGAGGCGGAAATCACATGCAGTATGAATGATGAGGCGGAAATCACATGCAGTATGAATGATGAGGCGGAAATCACATGCAGCATGAATGATGAGGCGGAAATCACATGCAGTATGAATGATGAGGCGGAAATCACATGAAGTATGAATGATGAGGCGGAAATCACATGAAGTATGAATGATGAGGCGGAAATCACATGCAGCATGAATGATGAGGCGGAAATCACATGCAGTATGAATGATGAGGCGGAAATCACATGCAGTATGAATGATGAGGCGGAAATCACATGAAGTATGAATGATGAGGCGGAAATCACATGCAGTATGAATGATGAGGCGGAAATCACATGCAGTATGAATGATGAGGCGGAAATCACATGAAGTATGAATGATGAGGCGGAAATCACATGCAGTATGAATGATGAGGCGGAAATCACATGCAGTATGAATGATGAGGCGGAAATCACATGCAGTATGAATGATGAGGCGGAAATCACATGCAGTATGAATGATGAGGCGGAAATCACATGCAGTATGAATGATGAGGCGGAAATCACATGCAGTATGAATGATGAGGCGGAAATCACATGCAGTAGGAATGATGAGGCGGAAATCACATGCAGTAGGAATGATGAGGCGGAAATCACATGCAGTAGGAATGATGAGGCGGAAATCACATGCAGTAGGAATGATGAGGCGGAAATCACATGAAGTATGAATGATGAGGCGGAAATCACATGAAGTAGGAATGATGAGGCGGAAATCACATGCAGTATGAATGATGAGGCGGAAATCACATGAAGTAGGAATGATGAGGCGGAAATCACATGCAGTATGAATGATGAGGCGGAAATCACATGCAGTAGGAATGATGAGGCGGAAATCACATGCAGTAGGAATGATGAGGCGGAAATCACATGCAGTAGGAATGATGAGGCGGAAATCACATGCAGTATGAATGATGAGGCGGAAATCACATGCAGTATGAATGATGAGGCGGAAATCACATGCAGTAGGAATGATGAGGCGGAAATCACATGCAGTATGAATGATGAGGCGGAAATCACATGCAGTATGAATGATGAGGCGGAAATCACATGAAGTATGAATGATGAGGCGGAAATCACATGAAGTAGGAATGATGAGGCGGAAATCACATGCAGTATGAATGATGAGGCGGAAATCACATGCAGTAGGAATGATGAGGCGGAAATCACATGCAGTAGGAATGATGAGGCGGAAATCACATGAAGTATGAATGATGAGGCGGAAATCACATGCAGTAGGAATGATGAGGCGGAAATCACATGCAGTATGAATGATGAGGCGGAAATCACATGCAGTATGAATGATGAGGCGGAAATCACATGCAGTATGAATGATGAGGCGGAAATCACATGCAGTAGGAATGATGAGGCGGAAATCACATGCAGTATGAATGATGAGGCGGAAATCACATGCAGTATGAATGATGAGGCGGAAATCACATGAAGTATGAATGATGAGGCGGAAATCACATGAAGTAGGAATGATGAGGCGGAAATCACATGCAGTATGAATGATGAGGCGGAAATCACATGCAGTAGGAATGATGAGGCGGAAATCACATGAAGTATGAATGATGAGGCGGAAATCACATGCAGTAGGAATGATGAGGCGGAAATCACATGCAGTATGAATGATGAGGCGGAAATCACATGCAGTATGAATGATGAGGCGGAAATCACATGCAGTATGAATGATGAGGCGGAAATCACATGCAGTAGGAATGATGAGGCGGAAATCACATGCAGTATGAATGATGAGGCGGAAATCACATGCAGTATGAATGATGAGGCGGAAATCACATGAAGTATGAATGATGAGGCGGAAATCACATGCAGTATGAATGATGAGGCGGAAATCACATGAAGTATGAATGATGAGGCGGAAATCACATGCAGTAGGAATGATGAGGCGGAAATCACATGCAGTATGAATGATGAGGCGGAAATCACATGCAGTATGAATGATGAGGCGGAAATCACATGCAGTATGAATGATGAGGCGGAAATCACATGCAGTAGAATGAGAGGGAAAAATGAATGAATGAGAGCGGAAATCACATGCAGTATGAATGATGAGCGGAAATCACATGAAGTAGGAATGATGAGGCGGAAATCACATGCAGTATGAATGATGAGGCGGAAATCACATGAAGTATGAATGATGAGGCGGAAATCACATGCAGTAGGAATGATGAGGCGGAAATCACATGCAGTATGAATGATGAGGCGGAAATCACATGCAGTATGAATGATGAGGCGGAAATCACATGCAGTATGAATGATGAGGCGGAAATCACATGAAGTAGGAATGATGAGGCGGAAATCACATGAGAGATGAGACCAGCGACAAACCCAGGCTTCCTGTGTCCTGCAAGTCCCCAGAGCAGGCAGAGCCCGTTTTCTGAGGTAGGATAAACTAAGTTCGCAGCACCTTATACAAAGACTTTGCTTCATGATTTCAAGGTGTAACCATCAGTGTGTTTACTACACAGAGCAACTCAGTTTAGGCATCTGGATAAACGGCAGATTTTACAGCAACATGTAACAGTAGATAGCTTTTCATTACTTTTAAGCTATCAGATACTGTGGTTCCCTAAAATTACTGCCCAAGTCGCGTGAATCATGAGGTCAGGAGTTCGACACCAGCCTCGCCAAGAGGGCAAAACCCTGTCTCTACTAAAAAATACAAAAATTAGCCAGGCACAGTGGCAGGTGCCTGTAATCCCAGCTACTCGGGAGGCTGAGACAGGAGAATCGCTTGAGCCCGGGAGGCAGGGCTTCAAGTGAGCCGAGATCACGCCACTGCACTTTAGCCTGGGCAACACAGTAAGACTCCGTCTCAAAAAAAAAAAAAAAAAAAAAAAAAAGGGCCTGCCCAAGTTCCCGGTTCTCTAAGAGTGGCTGTGCTGGCTTGGACCAGGTTCCTGGTTCTCTGAGAGTGGCTGTGCTCAGGGAGTTATTCATGGTGCCCCTTTGACATAAAAATACTTGTTTTGAAAAGTTATTTATCACAAAAGTGCTTTTTTCTTGATTTGTGGGTTTACTAATCTTATTTTTAAATAAATATTTAAATGTGTTATTTCTAATTTCTAAATATAGAAACGAATAAACCTTCACTATCTTATTATAAGGAGTCCTGGGATCAAAAGGTTTGGGAATCATTCCCTCCTACTCTGTAACTCAGTGTGTGTAAACCCTGGGAAAACAGTGTTAATGTAAGTATTCAGTCTAAAAAACATACAGCCCAAAAAAACACACAAAAGTAAAAAAAAATCAAAACCAACAAAGACCTTTGGGAAAATGTCCAAGTAACCTTCAGAGGAGAAAGTACTTACTTCCACAGGGGTAGATTCAGGTATTTCACGCAATATTACTATGCAGCGATTCTGATTTGGCCTTACTTTCTCTCCCTTTTCATCCACTTGGACTAAAGGTAAAGCTATAAAGAGAAGAAAAATCAATGGTAAAATAAAAATATTAAAATGTGATATGCCAGTGGAATGTGTTACATTCTATTACTATATTACTAAATACGCTAAAGAAACCTACAAATAATGGGCAAACTGTCAAAACTTTTGCTAGTCTAACACAATCCAAAGGTTTTAAACCAATCTCACATGTTAGTTTTCAAAACTAAGGTACACGGACATATAAAATCCTGCAAGAGCCATGATGTATGTAACACTATGAAACAAAGGTTCTAAACAGCTCAAGCACTAAAAGCAGACAAAAATACAGGGTTAATGGCTTTCTCCTTTCCACAAGTACCTAAAGTGAAATAATCTTGTCTTATAACTTGTTTCTGTGTGCCCTTCCCTGGCTCCCTGATGATCATCTCTTACCTAACAGTCATGCATTGTTTACATTAGGACGCTCATGTGACTGCGGTAATAGACCTAATTCAGATTTTGCCAGTTTTTACATAAATTGTGTTTTGGTGTCACATCTATGAAACTATGCAATGCACAGATTCGAGTTACAGCAAGTAATGATGACAATTAGGGCTCAGAGGTGCCCGCTGTCGCAAAGATACAAATTACCAGCATCAAGATGAAAGTGGCAACATCATTACAGGTTCCATCAACAGGAAAAAGGTAACAATGGAATATTATGAAAAAGTTCACGCTAATAAATTACGTGAAACAGAAACATTCCTTAAAAGACATGTCGGACGCGGTGGCTCAAGCCTGTAATCCCAGCACTTTGGGAGGCCGAGACGGGCGGATCACGAGGTCAGGAGTTCGAGAACATCCTGGCTAACACGGTGAAACCCCCTCTCTACTAAAAAATACAAAAAACTAGCCGGGTGAGGTGGCGGGCGCCTGTAGTCCCAGCTACTCGGGAGGCTGAGGCAGGAGAATGGCGTAAACCCGGGAGGCGGAGCTTGCAGTGAGCTGAGATCTGGCCACTGCACTCCAGCCTGGGCGACAGAGCGAGACTCCATCTCAAAAAAAAAAAAAAAAAAAAAGACATAAGCCACGAAAGCTCACTCTACAAGAAAGGTAACTGGGGCATGACTGTAATTTAATTTTTTGTATTTTAATCTGACAAAAGATCATCAAAGACTCATATGCTGAAAAGTGCAAAACACTGCCAAGCGAACGTTTTAAAGACCTACATAAAGACATAGTCTGTGCCTGTGGGTTGCAAAACTTAACATTGGTAAAATGGGTAAATTCTTCTCGAGTGAATTTACAGAATCAATGCAATCCCAATAAAAACACCAACAGGACTTTTTGAAAAATTGTAATGATGATTCTAAAATTCATATACAAATGCAAAACATTTAGAAGGGCCACAACAAAGCTGGAGGTTCCATACCTACTTTAAGACTTACTATAACATTACAGTGATTAAGACACTGTAGTGTCAGCATCAAATCAGACAAATAATCAAGGGAATAAAACACACATTCCAGAGATCAACACCCATGTGCACGGGCAGTCAATACAACAAGAGCCCAGACATGTGGGGTGCTGCAACAGATACACACAGGATGCATACCCCACACCATGTGCAAACATCAGCACAAAAAAGATCACAGACTCGAATGTTCAAATGTAAAACATAAAAGTAATAAAAGGAAAACTATTAGAACCTTGGACCAAGCAAAGATTTCTTAGGTACAACACCAAAAGCAAGATCCGTAACAGGAAAAAATTAACAAATTGGACTATAAAAAAATTTCTACTTCTGCTTCTCAAAAGACACTGGTAGAACAAAAAAACCAGCTGTACACTGAGAGAGCATATTTGTAAATCCCGTGATAAGGACCTGTATCCGGAATACCTGTACTACATATTTCAGTGTACACACACACATCATTGACAATGTGACTGTGAGGCAAAGAAGCATCTTTTCAACAAGCGCTGCTAAACCACTCAGCATCCACAGGCAGAACATTCATCTAGGTGCAGACCTGGCACCACCATTCACAAAAATTAACCCCAAATGGATCATGGACCTAAGTGTAAAATGCAAAACCTTAAGTCCTAGAAAACATAGGAGAAAATCTAGAAGACCTTGGGTCTGACAATAACTTCTTAGACACCACACTAAAGACAAGATCCGGAAAAACTTCATTAACATTTAAAACTTCTGCTTTGTGAAAGGCAATGTCAACAAGATGAGAAGCCATTGACTGATGGAAAATAGTTGCAAAAGACACATCTGACAAAGGATTGTTAACATCAAAATGCACAAAAAACTTAAAAACTCAACAAGAAAATGAACAAGATTAAAAAATGGGCAGAAGACCTGGACAGACACTTCACAAAAGATTTACAGAGGGTGAATCTACATATGGCAAAACGCTTCACATCATATGTCACAGAGAATGCAAATTAAGACATCAACGAGATGTCACTGCATACCTATTAGCACGGCAAAAATAAACAACAATGACACCAACAAATGCTGCCGAGGATGTGGAGCAACAGGAACTCCCATTCGCTCCCGACGGGAATGCAAAGTGGTTCATCCACATTGGGAGACAGTTTGATGGTTTCTTACAAAACAAATCATATTCGTAGCATATGATCTGGCAATTGTGCTCCTCCGTATTTATCCAAAGGAGCTAAAAACTTATGCCCATGCAAAATCTGTACACAGATGTTTATAGCAACTTTATTCACAACTGCCAAAACCTGGAAGTAATCAAGACGTCCTTCAGTGGGTAGATGGATAAAGAAACTGTGGGACATCCAGACGATGAACTATTATTCAACACTAAAAAGAAATGACCTATCAAGCCATGAAAAGACATGGAGGAACCTTCAACATATATTGCTAAGTGAAAGAAGCCAATCTGAAAAGGCTACATCCTACAGGATTCCAACCCTAGGACATTCTGGAAAAGGCCAAACTACAGAGGCAGTAAAAAGATCAGTGGCTTCCAGTGATTGGGGGAGGCAGGGATGAACGGGTGGAGCTCAGAGGATGTTTAAATTTTTTTTATTATACTTTAAGTTCTAGGGTACATGTGTACAAGGTACAGGTTATATATGTACACATGTGCCATGTTACATATGTATACATGTGCCATATTGGTTGGTACATATGTATACAGGTGCCATGATGAGTTAATGGGTGCACCCGCTAATTCATCATTTACATTGGGTAGATCTCCTAATGCTAACCCTCCCACCTCCCCCCACCCCACAACAGGCCCTGGTGTCATGTTCCCCTTCCTGTGTCCAAGTGTTCTCATTGTTCAATTCCCACCTATGAGTGAGAACATGCAGTGTTTGGTTTTCTGTCCTTGTGATAGTTTGCTGAGAATGATGGTTTCCAGCTGCATCCATGTCCCTACAAAGGACATAAACTCATCCCTTTTTAAGGCTGCATAGTATTCCATGGTGTATATGTGCCACATTTTCTTAATCCAGTCTATCAATGATGGACATTTGAGTTGGTTCCAAGTCTTTGCTATTTCAATAGTGCCACAATAAACATACGTGTGCATGTGTCTTTATAGCAGCATGATTTATAATCCTTTGGGTATATACCCAGTAATGGGATGGCTGGGTCAAATGGTATTTCTAGTTCTAGATCCCTGAGGAATTGCCACACTGTCTTCCACAATGGTTGAACTAGTTTACAGTCCCACCAACAGTGTAAAAGTGTTCCTATTTCTCCACATCCTCTCCAGCACCTGCTGTTTCCTGACTTTTTAATGATCGCCATTCTAACTGGTATGAGATGGTGTCTCATTGTGGTTTTGATTTGCATTTCTCTGATGGCAAGTGATGATGAGCATTTTTTCATGTGTCTGTTGGCTGCATAAATGTCTTTTGAGAAGTGTCTCTTCATATCCTTTGCCCACTTTCTGATGGGGTTGTTTTTTTACTTGTAAATTTGTTTGAGTTCTTTGTAGATTCTGGATATTAGCCCTTTGTCAGATGAGTAGATTGCAAAAATTTTCTCCCATTCTGTAGGTTGCCTGTTCACTCTGACGGTAGTTTTTTTTTTTCTGTGCAGAAGCTCTTTAGTTTAATTAGAACCCATTTGTCAATTTTGGCTTTTGTTGCCATTGCTTTTGGTGTTTTAGACATGAAGTCCTTGCCCATGCCTATGTCCTGAATGGTACTGCCTAGGTCTTCTTCTAGGGTTTTTACGGTTTTAGTTCTAACATTTAAGTCTTTAATCCATCTTGAATTAATTTTTGTATAAGGTGTAAGGAAGGGATCCAGTTTCAGCTTTCTACATATGGCTGGCCAGTTTTCCCAGCACCATTTATTAAACAGGGAATCCTTTTCCCATTTCTTGTTTTTGTCAGGTTTGCCAAAGATCAGATGGTTGTAGATGTGTGGTATTATTTCTGAGGGCTGTGTTCTGTTTCATTGGTCTATATCTCTGTTTTGGTACCAGTACCATGCTGTTTTGGTTACTGTAGCCTTGTAATATAGGTAATATAGTTTGACTTCAGGTAGTATGATGCCTCCAGCTTTGTTCTTTTGGCTTAGGGTTGTTTGCAGATGACATGATTGTATATTTAGAAAATCCCGTCGTCTCAGCCCAAAATCTCCTTAAGCTGATAAGCAACTTCAGCAAAGTCTCAGGATACAAAATCAATGTGCAAAAATCACAAGCATTCTTATACACCAATAACAGACAGAGAGCCAAATCATGAGTGAACTCCCATTCACAACTGCTTCAAAGAGAATAAAATACCTAGGAATCCAACTTACAAGGGATGTGAGAGAGAACTACAAACCACTGATCAATGAAATAAAAGAGGACACAAACAAATGGAAGAACATTCCATGCTCATGGATAGCAAGAATCAATATCATGAAAATGGCCATACTGCCCAAGGTAATTTATAGATTCAATGCCATCCCCATCAAGCTACCGATGACTTTCTTCACAGAATTGAAAAAACTGCTTTAAAGTTCACATGGCTCAGAGAATGTTTAGGTCAGCAAAATTACCCTATATGACACTGTAATGGTAGATACATGTCACTATACAGTTGTCTGAACCCACAGAATATACAATATCAAGTGAACCCTTATGTAAACTGTGGACTGCAGGTGATAATGATGTGTCCGTGTAGGTTTCATCAATTATAACAAATGTTCCTCTACTGGGGAATGTTCATATGGGAAGAGGCCATGCATGTGTGCAGGGGATATAATGGGAGATCTCTGTACTTTGCTCACAATTTTGCTGTGAATCTAAAACTGTTCTAAAAAATAAAGTGTACTGGCCGGGCACGGTGGCTCACGCCTGTAATTCCAGCACTTTGGGAGGCCAAGGCGGGCGGATCACGAGGTCAGGAGATCGAGACCATCCTGGCTAACACGGTGAAACCCCGTCTCTACTAAAAATACAAAAAATTAGCCGGGCGAGGTGGCGGGCGCCTGTAGTCCCAGCTACTCGGGAGGCTGAGGCAGGAGAATGGCGTGAACCTGGGAGGCAGAGCTTGCAGTGAGTCGAGATCACGCCACTGCACTCCAGCCTGGGCGATAGAGCAAGACTCCGTCTAAAAAAAAAATAAAGTATACTTCTAAAGAAAGGACTCAATTGTTAATAAAATTAATAAAGTATGTGTGGGACATCTAAATAGACACTACTGCAAAGAAGAAAAAAGAAGGCAAATAAGCACACTTAAAAAATGTTCAATTTCATTAATCATTAGAGAAATAGAAGTTAAAACCTCAACAAGATACCACTATATAGTTATTAGAAAACATAAAATTAACATGACTGCATACCAAGTGTCAGAAGGATATGGGGAAACTGGAGCTCTCATCCCTGCCGTAGTGGCCAACCGTAAAATGGTCCAACCACTTTGGAAAACAGGTGGGCGGTTTCGCAGTGAATCATACACCTAACAACACAATCCAGACATTCCACTTCTGGCTATTTACCCGAGAGACAGGGAAGCACACGGTCACGCAGAGACTTTTACACAAGTGTCCACAGCAATTTGTAGTGGTCAAAACCTGGCAATAACCTAAATGTCTTCAACTGGTAGGTGCATGAACCAACTGGGAATATCCATTTGAAAGAATACTTCCCAGCAAAAAGAAGCAATCACCTACTAATCCAGTCAACAACAAAATAGTTATGCCAGACCAAAGGAAAGTGATATTGCATAATCGACTCCATTTACATCAAATTTGTAAAACTGCACACTAATCTGTAGTGACAGGAAGCAAATCAGTGGTTGCCTGGGGAGGGGTAGAGGAAGCTTGGCGGGGGTGGCTGTGATGGCTATGTTTGGTATCATGATTGTGGTAGTTTCATGGGTGTATAAATATGTTAAAACTTACCAAATGTACACTTAGAATGCATAATTTATGGTATGTAAATTCTACCTCCATACAGGCAGGGGTGTCACCCTCTGCACGTCACGCCTCACCCAACTCACCTGCCCCCATGACGTGACACTGAATGATGAGCTTCAATCCCATTCATGCTTTCCCACCATCTCCATGCTCCTCTGAACCCACAAAAATCCCTGCGCTTCAGCTTTACACACCCCCAAGCTTTATATACATGGTATCACCTTGCACAAATTTGGAAATATGCTTTTATAAACATTATAATTTTAAAATTTATTCTTGTTGGAATATGTAGGCCTAGCTCACTGTAACAGCTCTGGTACTCACTGTGTGAATATAACACAATGTATTTATTCTGGTGACAAATATTTTAGCATGTCTTTTTAATTAGCAGTTTCAGTTATATTAAGGGTAAAAACAGCACTTGAATCAGACATACTAGGACATGCACTGTATGTTTATTATGACATTAAAAATAATCTAGAAATGTAACTTACACAACTTAACACAAGAGCTGCAGTATTCAAAGTAAAATCATTCAAACGATCTTGAGTTAAATTTTTAAAAAGATAAAATTAAATATTCATCAAGTATCTGCTGTGTGTCTGAGTCTCTGCTAGGTATTTTGGGCACAAGATTTAAACATAAGATGAAGCCAGGCATGGTGGCTCACACCTGTAATCTCAGGACTTCAGGAGACTAAGGCGGGCAGATCACTTGAGGTCAGGAGTTTGAGACCAGCCCTGCCAACGTGGTAAAACCTCGTCTCTACTAAAAATACAAAAAATTAGCTGGGCGTGGTGGTGCATGCTTGTAATGCCCAGCTACTTGGGAGGCTGAGGTAGGAGAACTGCTTCAACACAGGAGGCAGAGGTTGCGGTGAGCTGAGATGGCACCACTGCACTCCAGCCTTGGCGACAGAGTGAGATTACCTCTCAAAAATAAATTCATTCATTCATTCATTCAATTTAAATAAAAAACAAAACAAAACAAAAAAACAAAGTAAGATGAGAACTTTAATCCTGTGGACCTATTTATGACATGTTCATCCTCTTAAGAACTACAACTAATGCAATAACTTGCTAACAATATTCTTATCACACAGGTTCTTACAAAGGCATGTACATCTCTGTCCAAAAATCGAGTGAAAAAAAGACAAAATGAGAAACTAAAGAGCTGAGTGCAAATGGATAAAAGGTAAGTCATAAAGAAGGCAGGAGGAGATGGGACAAAATAGGTGACGAGGCTGCCCTGGATCGCCTATGGGCAGGTGGGCTCTGTTGAGTAACCACACAGAGCAATTTAATATCCTCATGGTCGGTGGAAACCACTTCTTGCCAGTAACAATCAACTGAGAAATCATCCCAGTGGGGCAGCAGCATTTGCAAGGTCTGTCCTAAAAGGAATAACTAAACCTGGAACTCCTAATCATAACCAAAAAGACTTCAGAGTATAAACAGGGACAAGAATGCTGCTGGCCTTTCAAAGATGGGGCCCAATTCAGCTGGCACAGACAACAGCTTCTGTTCTGCATGGTGACACCAGGGAGCACGGCGCCATTCTGGGAGATGGCAGTGCCACTCTCAGAACTCACAGTCAATGGTAATCATGTTTGCCAGTTTCTTCACTGTCTCCAATAATTTAATAACCCACGATATCTGTCTAAAAACAGAGAAATAGAGAACTTGTATTTGTGAAAAGAAAATCCAACTAAGCTCTAAGGTAAGATGCTTACCTTTTTATACTACTGTAAAGTCAAATCCACACAAGAACAAAAACACCTGCATGAACTGTCGCCAGTGCAGTTAAGCCAGGGACAATGTGGAAACCCTTCTATGTGAGTAGAGGCAGTGGACTTAAAGGAGACTTTAAGTCAGGCTTAGCAATGTCCAATCACTCAAAACTATGTAGGGGGCATCGTCAACACTTAATGCTTAAACACTGTTTGATGTTGCCAAATTTCAAAGAAACAACTTCACTCACAACATAAGTTTGTTTTTTTTTTTTGTTTTTTTTTTTTGAGACGGAGTCTAGCTCTATCGCCAGGCTGAACTGCAATGGTGCGATCTCAGTTCACGGCAACCTCCGCCTCCCGGGTTCAAGCGATTTCCCTGCCTCAGCCTCTCAAGTACCTGGGATTACAAGCACGCACCGCCACGCCCAGCTAATTTTTTGTATTTTACTGGAGATGGGATTTCACCATGTTGGCCAAGACAGTCTCAATCTCCTGACCTTGTGATCCTCCCACTTCGACCTCCAAAAGTGCTGGGAATATAGGTGGCCCACACCTGGCCCACAACATAATTTTAAGAAAAACTGCAATAATTATTTCATCAAAACATAAACAGGAAGTTGCAATTTGAAAGAAACACCTTTAGTGGCAAAGCTGTAATTAAAATGTATTTTACTTTAACTATAAATGTTATTTTTATTTTGTTTTTCATGAATGAAAGAGCTATCTTTAAAATTCCCATTAAAAAGATTATTTTCTACTTCATATGGCCCAAAACTTGTTTGAGGTTTCATAATGGATCCAACTGGCATTCCCAGGACTATCAGGCGCTAGTCCAGAATTACTGGACCTGAGCAGAAAGCAACGGAGGCAAGAGAACAATCTGACTTGCCATCAAGGACCTTAATGTTTGATGGCTATAGATTTAAAGGTTCACACTGAGAAGACAAATACTCTAAGGACAAGCATTATTAATTTAAAATTGTCATTTACTTACATCTTAGCACTTCCACAATCAAGTCCACATCAGTGCTGAGCTTCTTGATGTGGTCGAGGTTAGCCACCGTTGTGATTGGCACATACTGGTCACTGTCCATCTGTGATATAAGATACATGTCACTAGCAAGGTTCTCCCTGTTGAAAGAAAACAATCTCCTTTAATCAATATTTCTTTAAAAAGAAGTTTCACCTACTGCAATTCCAGTTTCACAAGAGGCATGAGTGTGGCATGGTATTGCTTTGGAGTTAAATCGGAGCCCAGGACCCATCTGTTATTTGCTGTCTCTCCGGCCTCAGTTAAATTTTTTCAAAATCTCAGTCTTGAAGAGGCAGGGAGTGCAAAAGTAAAAGTATACTGCACTTTCTACAATCAAAATTCATGAGAAGATGGTTATTTTTAAATAAGATGTAATTATTTGTAGCTGTCATTTTTGCCCTAAGAAGTATTTGAGGAGTTTATTAAAAATACATACAATTTTGTTAGGCTGGGCACAGTAGCTCACGCCTGGAATCCCAGCACTTTGGGGGGCCAAGGTAGGCAGATCACCCGGGCTCAGAAGTTTAAGACCAGCCTGACCAACATGGTGAAACCCTGTCTCTACCAAAAATACAAAAATTAGCCAAGCATGGTGGCAGGCACCTGTAATCCCAGCTATTTGGGAGGCTCAGGCAGGAGAATCGCTGGAACCCAAGAGGTGGAGGTTACAGTGAGCCGAGATCGCACCATTGCACTCCAGCCTGGGTGACAAGAGTGAAACTCCGTCTCAAAAAAAAAAAAAAAAAATTTAAAGTAAAGAAATCCAGCTGAATGAACAAGAAAGGAAAACATAAAAAGGCCAGGATAACATCATTCACAAAATTCCTCCTGTAGACTCTGGAACACTCACTAGAGAGCCTATATCCAGCCCTGGCTTCCTGGCAGCCAGAATTAAAAAGAAGGAAACAGTAACTTTACCCACAAAATCCAAAGGTGAGCCACAAATCATCAGCAGTTTGGGCCATGATGAGCTATTTTCTGGTGTTTTGGTCAAAGATCAATGTTTCCTGTGAATTCTCAAGGCACCGTACAATGTAGTAAACAAGGTCCTAAGAAACATTTCAAAACTGAAAACAGTGCTGGGTTCCTGGGGCCTCTGCTCAGTGTCCCTCGGTGAAGGCCCATGACTGCCAATCAAACAGAGGCCATGCAGGAGGAGGCCCTGCTCCATCCTCATCTTGGCCACCTTCCAGTTGTAGCTGATTTTGGCCCCGTGGGGCTACAGAAGGGGGTGAGTGGCAGAGGGCTCACACCTGTGCCCCCTAGGGTGCTCCACTGGTGCCCCAGCACCTCTTGCGTCTGCTGTGTCATGGTGCGGTATGCTCAGACTCCAAACGTGGAACAGCATGGGCATGGGGAGGAGGCCAGCAGAGCCCCTCACACCTCCGCCTCATACAGCCACAGGCTTCAAGGAGCCCCTAGCAGACACCTGTGTGGAATCCTCAGGGCTCCAGAGAAAACACCTGGAAAATCATCTTCGACAGAAAACCTTACACACAGCCAATCGGCTGTTGCCATACTCAGAGAAATTACATCAAACCCAATCCCACCTTCCTTTATGTCCAGTTCTGCCACTGGAACTTTAAAGGTTTTACTAAGAAAAAGGTATTATTCAGGGGGAAAAAAATGATTAAAAGTGAGTGTTATATAAATAAAACAACTTGCTATCTCAGTGTTTGGTGTGTTTTCAGAAACAACATGGCACATTTGTTCTCAAACTTCGGTGTGAAGAGTCTGATTCAGCAGCACAGGGCGGGCCAGGCCCTTCAGACGGCACTCCAGACAGTGACCACCAACACCACGGGGGACCACTGACATGAAGGTTCCATTCCGTTCTCAAACGTCAAAAGATTGTTATTACTCAATATTCCACGTCTTAATATTCATATATATGGATATGAGTATATACTCCTTCATAAAATACCCCATTTGTATATAATTTAACTATTTGCACGAGACTAGAAATATCAGGCATTAGAAAAAAACACCACCAGCCTTACCTAGATAAGCAGAATTCCAATGTTTTTTTAAGTACTTCCCGGGGGTCTTCCTGGCTTTCTGGTTGAGACTCATTTCCTCCTACAGAAAAGTAATAATCAACTTAGGAAAAACAGCTTAAAATTTAGGAAGCAGATAATTCAGTACAGCAGTTCTAGTGCTTTCAACTTACATTCTGACACAACTACCTAAGTGTATATTGAGTATGAAAAATGCTACTTTACCTATCAAAAAAGTAAATCATGCAAAAAAATGTATTCCTTTATCCCCCAAAACAAAAACAGCACAATTTAGAAAAATAATCTAAGTCTTATGAGCAGAGTTTAGCACGGGCTTTTTCTACCAGAAATGACAAGTGTAAATTTAGCTAATGCCTTGTCTCACTGCAAAAAGAATTTTCAAGTAACCTACACAAACACAAACACTAAACAATAATAAAATATAGAGGAAAAAATTAAAACGACGACGACAAAGATAACTGGCAAACAACCAAGGCTGGAGATCATAAACAGACAGGCTCTACAATACTAGACAGTTTCTACAACAGAGGCTTCAATTTGCCTTTCAACTTCCAGAGTAGAAGGAACAAGTGAGAATTGCCGTGTTACAGAATTCCTATAAGAGAATGATAAATAAACCAGATCTTCAAGAGGAAACAAAAGCTGGATCTAAATCCTGGAAGAAATTTCTGAGAAGATGCCAGAGGGCATGGTGTGTGTGGTCACAGGCAGCACAGGGCCGTGAATCTGAAGCTCTATAAGACAGAGCTGGACTCTGGACACTGCATAAACAGGTATTTTAATAATGTTGAGACGACAGGCACTGAAATGCTAAGAACTAAGTTTTTTCTACATTCCTATACAAATTAGCATGGTACAATCATACATTAGCCATGCTAACACAAGAGACACTTGTATCTTAAAAGTCAAAGTTAAAGACCATGAAAAGGCAAAGACAAAGTGGAGCGTTCAGGACAAATAAGAGGGACAGGGAGTTTGTATGGTGTTATACAATGAGCTTAGTAAAAATCCACCCCCATCAGCAAAAAGAAAACAAAACTGCTAAAGCAACCATAACACAAAACCAAACCATGGGACTCAATGAGACTGAAAACTGAAAATTGAAAACACAACCTGATGCCACTGTCCATCTAGACTAAAGTGTCTCCGGGTCACTCATCTAAATTCACACTCCACCCCCCATGTTTGACAGGTGTTTACTAAATATTTCTATGTCCCAGGCACTATGGCAGGCTCTGTGAATTCAGCCTGAATAAGGCAAAGCCTGTGCTCTCGTGAAGCCAACACTCTCGTGGGAGAGGCAGATAACAGACAGTTAACCAGTAACTATATACATCATGTCAGAGAGAAACTGACACTGAGGAAACCACCCAGGATGAGGGGCAGCAAGGCCTGGTGCCGTCCAGACAGGAAGTGCCATGCGATCTGATAGAGGAGGGGTGGGGCACGCAGGAAGGTGGGAAGTGTGTTCTAAGCGGGGAGCCTCAAGCACAGGTGTCCCAAGATGGGGCCTCTCAAGGGGTAGAGTTCAGCAGTAGGAGGCCAGCACAGCTGAGAAGAGGAGTGACAGACACAGTAAGAAATGAGGTCACAGAGGCTGATGTGTGTGTGAGATCAAGGAGGACGTTAGAGGATGTTAGAGTAAACGTCATAGAAAACCAATTCAAGGCTGACATTTTGAAAAGATCTCTGGTTCCATGGTGTAGACAGACTGTGCAGGCACCAGCTGGAAGTTAATGCAATCATTGAGGACAGGGCACTAGGGAGGACTCTCCAAGCGATAGGTGGTGCTGAAGCCACAAGGGAAGGAAGAAAAACAGCACAGGACTGAACCTGGAACACTCCCACCTTTAGCAGGAGGCAAGTGCATGAGGGCCAAAGGACACAGGTTAACAGCCAGCAAGGTGGGAAGACCATTAGGATACTGTGAAGTTAGGAGCCAAGATAATCACCCACTACAACATGACACAGTAGAGCCAGGTAAGTTAAGAAGTTGGAACTAACTACTAAATCTGGCTGCACCAGGGTCATTAAAGAGCTCGACAAATGCCGCTTAGGACAGCTGTCTACCTGGACTGGACTCCAGAGTGAATGGAAGCAAGGAGATCTGGACTGGACTCCAGAGGGAAGGAAGGAGACCTGGACTGGACTCAAGAGGGAAGGGAAGCAAGAAGATCTGGACTGGACTCCAGAGGGAAGGGAAGCAAGGAGATCTGGACTGGACTCAAGAGGGAAGGGAAGCAAGGAGACCTGGACTGGACTCAAGAGGGAATGGAAGCAAGGAGATAGGACAGCAAGCAGACAGCTGAAGTGTTCTACAGTGGAAGATGGGCTGCCCCGGGGTGGCTTCATCTAAGATGAGAGATAATACCACCTTAGAAAGATGGGGAGTGACCCAACCATGCAAGAAACGCCTGGCACTGCAGCCAGAGGAGACTGAGGAGCAAAGACAATGACAAGTGAGGCGGGCTCTCGGGGAGACTGGAGGTTGGGCACATGGTGCTGGGAAGACACAGGCCATCTGCCTCCAGGCAAGTGGAGTCACAGGAGCTAGGTTAACTTTCCCTTTAAAACCACCAAGAAACCAAATAAGATAGATGAAATGATCGTTTTCTAGATGTGGGACATAGGGCAACAAAGGACATGGATTCCTACGTGACATGAGACTTTTTTTCTTTGAGAGAGTCTTGCTCTGTCACCCAGGCTGAAGAACAGTAGCGCAGTCTTGCAACCTTGGCTCACCGCAACCTCCACCTCCTGGGTTCAAGTGATTCTCACCTCAGCCTCCTGAGTAGCTGGGATTACAGGCACACACCACCAGGTACGGCTATTTTTTTTTATTTTTATTTTTAGTAGAGACGGGGTTTCACCATGTTGGTTAGGCTGATCTCGAACTCCTGACCTTGTGATCCGCCCGCCTTGGCCTCCCAAAAGTGCTGGGATTCCAGGCGTGAGTCATCATGCCCGGCTTGACATGAGACATTAAAGTAACCCCCACAGGTCCAGCCCACTGCCCTGAGGGAAGTCCCAGGCTGTGCCCAGGGAGTGGGAAGTCAGGTGGGAACCCAGTGTATGGCTGCGTGAAAGAGAAAAAGAGAATGCAGGAGATGGGGAGGCTGAGTGCATAGGCCAGACGGCAGGAGGAGCTCCAGAGAACCGCAGGGCCCAGGCCCCAGCACATTGTCGGCCAGGTTCTTTGCAAAGCACAGATGTGATGAAACTACCCAAGGCTCATGGAAGAACCACCTGAGAGGATCAGAAGTGTAACAATATATGTCATTCACGTGCAGGGCCTGAAATGGTTAACCGTCCCCCCCCAGAAAATCTTGTGATTCCCGGAGCCCTGCCTTGGTGATAGGAAACAGGTCCCACACCACACGGTTCCACTCACACCTAACACATTTTAAAAACAAGATATGAAAGGATCACACTGTTTCCAAGAAACTTGGCTGCATCTCAGAACAAATATCAAATACTTAAAGAAATACAAAAATACTAAGCCCTGAATAAAGTAAAACTCAATCTAACCAAAAATGACCACGCACGCAAAGAAAGCAGCAGGATGGTGTGACCTGTGACAGTGAGAAATATCAACCCACAGACGTCGTCCAGACCTGACACAGACGGTAAAATTAACTGAGAAGGATGGTAAAAGTTACCATAACTGTATTCCATATGTTCACAAAGTTAGGTAAGGACATAAAAGTTACAAAAATAAGAAAGAAAAGAGAAAAAACTTATAGAGATGAAAACTCCCATGTCTGATATTAAAAATACCTGATGAGATTAACAACAGGTTAGGCATTATAGCAGACTTGGGAACCTGAAGACACAGTAACAGAAACTTCCCAAAATCAAACAGAAAATGAGATGCATGACGAGCTCCGAGGATCAGTCAGCTGCGGACAACATTGAGCAGCTCAGCTCCAGTGTAGCATCAGACCCTGGCACGGTCCGCCCCCAACCCAGAGAAATCTACACACGTTAACAGAGAGCACTGGAAACCACCACCACATGGACAAAGAGGTGTGCTTTTTTGCTTGTTATAATTTAAATCTCTTTTAAAAATAACTGACTTTTAAATAAAAATAAAAACAATATATTGTCAGTTTATAACATAAGTAACCGCAAAATGCATGATGACCAAAGCATCCAGGCCACGAGAGCAATGGCGGCAGACTGCCCTGATGCTGTGCACTACGTGAAGCAGCATGCAGCTGCTTCACAGGTAGACTGGGTTAGCCGAAGGAAGTGGAACAAGACGCAAAGAAATCACTAAAACAGCAAAACAAAGAAGAAGGCTACTCCACAAGAAAACAGAAAAAGAGGGAAAGAGGAACGAAGAACGGATGGGACAAAAAGAAACAGAACACGCCTAGCACTCAATCTTGGTTTCTGATATCACTCTCCAATGAAGGACCCAGCGCTCCTTGGAGAAATGGCTGATTCTAAGACTGAAGCAAGGAGGAAAAAACAAAACCAAACAAAATAACCACGAAAAGCCCTACGTTGATGGGGCATGTCAAAAGGAGCCAACCAGAACTCCTGATGGCCAAAGCTAGAACAATTTGAGCAACAAAATAAAGCAGTATTAGATTATAACGAAAAGTATAAAACAAACATTCCTGAATCCACACTGCTATAAATAGTTGAATAAGTAAATAAAGGAGAAAAGACAAATCTCCCATACATAAGAATTTTAAATAATTTACGAAGATTCGTGTCCTCATAGAGGGGGACTGTAAATCCCCAATTCCTTGAGTGTGGGCCGTACGCAGCGACTTCCTTCCAAACAGTACAACACAGAAATGGGGAGGGAAAGGGTAACTTCACAGTGAGAAACCCAGTAAACAGCCAGGCGATCAAGATCCACACCAACAGTGATATGTCACGCTGGCAGTGTGCACCTTGACATACGTGATGAAAATGGTGTTTTAACCTCTCAAACCCATTAACACTGCAGCATCACAACGAGAAAACATCCAATTCTAATAGAAAAGGATGCTACAAACCACTTGACTAGTACTCTTCAGAACTATTATATCAAAATTACCACAAACA